TGATCCGACGACGTCGCGCCTCGAGGTGAGTGGCGTTCGTTAGCAGCGAGAGTTTGGAAGCTCATTGCGTTTTAAGATACGGAACCTGCCGGATGGCGAGGACGCTGGCGGGGACATCTCCAGGGAGCCCTCCCGGCGGGAATGAACGTAACGATTTGCATCTTCTGTAGGCAAGCCATGATGTTATTATTTCTGGACTGTATCTTGTGTATTTTCTTGTGGTTATTGCAGTGCTTCTTGCTTGCTTGCTTTCAGTTAACCCTCTCGTACATTGACGACATAACGTTCATTGGGCGCAACTACACGTATTATACGTTACCATCCATTTATCACGCTTGCACAAATCACGGACATTAGATTGCCTCGTTGCTACTCACAGGACGTTTTGACTGTTGTTTGTAGTCTACCTAAGCCTAACTACAAGAGGAGCCGTTTGAGTGTGGTGATCAAGAAACGTCTCCCGGGGAAGTCACCGTAGCATCTGTTTGGTATAAACGCTATTAATTTAATGTACTATGCATGACTTATCAATATTCGTGAGGCTAGTGCAGTGTAACTGTGCTGGAATTGTCGTTACCTCTGAGCAGTGTGTAGAGATATACTAAATGATGTTTCGGCGGACCCTCGACGAGATTTGTGGCCACTGTCACGGTCACGGTCATTATGAATGAATTATGAAGTTTGTCACGGCGTCTGGGACAACGGTCCACCTTATTTCATGACATGGTCATGATGAGGCGACGAACCGTTCGAAATGGTACAGTACGTTCCATGTTGATGCCTGCAAGAGCTACAAGGCCGAAGGGAAGATAAGCTAAGCATGAAACTCAAGCTCCTCTAAACTGCTTCATTCATATGTAGCATGAGCCAGATCTCTCGTGTGAGCATATATATGGAATAGTAAGGACGCGCTGGAGAGCCTTAGCCCTTCGGGGCCCTTCTCGCATGCTGCAGTGTAAAAATGAAATGCGCCATGGCCATGGACAAATTTGACCTCTCCATTGCCATCAAGCTTCATTGATTCATTGTGCTTGTTCTCGCTTCCCGCGAGATGGCATCATGACTGGGAAGACAAAGAACACAATGGCAACGGTGCTCGGCGGTCAATCGTTCTGCCCCGCAGTAACGGCTAGCACGTACTAGGTGGGAGTTTCTCCATAGGGTTCCAGGGTCAACACGTCTCGTGTTTCGCTGTCGGAGGAAACTCACGTCGGTGCCAACATACCGTTCATTCAGTGATTGATACTGATGCATTTGCACCGACAGTGATCTCGCACTTACCGCAATCCTTGTATCTCCGTTCCCGATCTGACATTGCCTTGCCGGCGCTTCAAGTTGCATGGAATACGCGTCTTTGCTCCCCTTATGAAGGGGTAATCATTCCGCAACGAGAAAACCACGGTCTCATTCAATCGACAACGTGAAGCTTTCATACTCTCCATCAGCACATTGCTACATACCGCCAGTATACCGTCAAACATTGTCTTCTGGCCCATCCTCGATCATTCGGGCGTAGTCATCATAGCTTGCGAAGGTCGGGAGGCTCTTCAGCTTCTTCTTCCTGCTCCTTGCACTGCCTTTCTCTTCACCGCGTTTCCGCTTCTTTGCTTTCGAGCCGTCCTCACCAATGCCACCCCATACCTCCTCTTGATCAGAGCCTTCCGCATCAGAACCGTCATACTCGACCAGACCCATCGGGATCTCTGTGTCAAGCGGGAGCAGGTCTTCAGCATCAGAGGCCTCCGCTAACGAGAAATCGTCCGCCTCGCTGTGAGCTTCATCCTTGCCTGCTTCCTTTTCTGACTGCTCAACTTGATCGTCCTCATCGTCGTCATTGCCGCCAGATTCTAGGTCCAAGGGTACTTCGTCTTCATCCTCATCCTCACTGCCCTCCATCAAACCATCATCATCCAGCTCTGCAGGCATGGTCGCTTTCATGGCCTACAAAAGAGTATGAGCGCGCGAGCAAGCCAAGTCTACGAGTGATCAGGCGCACCTTCCAAATCTCCGTCTCCTCTTCGTCGCTGTCTTCACCTTCCTCCTCCTCATCATGGTCAGCAGGACCAGCCTCGTCACCTGAAGCAGCCTCCGGCTCTTCATTATTCGAAGTGGACCCTTCTGAATCCGAGGCGTCTCCACGACCCTTGCGCTTCCCCACCTTTGCAGCCTTCTCGTCTGTTCTTTCCTTCTTCCTCGTGAAATATTTATGGAAGAATACCTGTCGTGTTCATGGCGACATCAGAATATGTAACACAGAGCCACCTGAGGACTCACCTGATCCACCGGCACGTCCTCCACTCTCCGGTTCCACCAGCTCTCCTCATTGACCATCAATCCCCCCTCATCCGCGACCTCCCCTTTCGTCATCTTCACACTCCCAGAACGATCGTTCGCAGAGAAAGCAGGTTGCATCGCACTTGCGCCCTTCGCTTTTGGCTTCTTTGGATTTTTGTAGACAAAGCGGTCGAGGAAGTGCGATAGCGTGTTGAGCGCCAGGTCTGGCGAGGCGGTGATGGGAGAAGACGTTAGAAGCTGTCGCGCATGCAGGGAGACTGCGGGATGGTAGTGATGCAACAGTGGAAGCTGGAATATTCTAGTTAGTCAACGATTTCGATGAAATATGACATCAGGGACGTACCAGCTCGTACATCGGAGTTGCAGATGCATGCGCGAATTGAGGATCGCGCTTCCGCGGGTCATACGTCTCTGCCTCACTAACCTTGCTTCTCCTCTCCCCGTTCAAGAGGCCTCTCAAGGACGACACGGTTTGGAACAGCTGGAACAAGCCTCAGCACAAAATATTCGATTGCAAAATGAGTGCCACCGAACCTCGCCGAGCAGATACGATCCTCCGGTGACAAATTCCGCACTACCTCCACCCCCGGTACCTACAGTGAGGACCTGCACAAATCTGCGGACGAACGCCTTGACGCGCTCAATATTTTTATCCGCCTTCAATGCCTTGAACAGCAGGTTTAGGTACATTGCCTGCTTGTTCGACTCGCCCAAGCGAACGTCGGTAAGCGAGGTATAGAGAGTACGGTAGAAGCGATCGGTGAGTGAGTTAGCAAACGCTGCCGCCGACGAGTTTGTCGATGACGAATGCGAAGCAAGTGAGGACGTGATATGGAAGATGAGCGTGAGTGCTTGGAGCGAGATGTTGAACGTGGAGGTATGTGTGATGAGGAAGAGGGTGTCGATGTGAGCCTTGAAACTAAACGAGACAGAAACCTTCAGTAAGCCTATCTGGCCCAAGGAACAGAGTCGAGCACAATCAATACTCACATATCATCGCTGGCCGCGTCCTCCTTTGCGAACGGCAACGCTCGGTTCACGCCTGTCAAGATTGCGCTCACCAACCTCGAAGTTGCATCCTCTACCTCTGCAAATCCAGCAGCACCCTTCACCTCCTTCTGCCGTGCCTTTTTGCCTTTGTCCTTCCTCTTGCTTCCCTCCTCATCCTGTCCTTCGCCTTTGCTGTCCACATCGCCTGCATTCTTCTCTTCTCCCGTTCCGTTCTTCCTCTCGGCGCCTAAAACCTCTTCGAACATTTCGAAATACATCGCGATCAGCATCCGCGCCACCGCCTGGTTCGCATCGCTTGGAGTGAGCACAATCTGGTTTAGCGTCACAGATATGTGATACCAAGCATGCGAATTCCATCGCTCCAGGGCTTTCCCTCGGCCTTGGCCGCGCTGCGTCTGATCCTTGTTCTTTGCCTTGCCTTCGACGCTGGGCTCGTCCGTGAATTTGATATGCGTTCCCTGTTTCTTCTCGGTGGCTTTTCCCGCGTGCACAGTTGAGGAAGCTGCGGAGGACGCAGGCCGGAAGGCGAGCGCCTTCACTTCGCGCACTATCACCGCCTTCATTTCCGGATGTGCCTGAAGCACCTGCAACAGGTGATACGATGCGCGCGAACATACTGCCTTCTCGGTATCGCCCTGCGACGATAGCCAGAGCTAGGTCAGCAGAAGTTCGGATGCAAACGGGGTTACGACGTACCAACTTGTTCACGAGAAGTCGGAGAAGGTTCTGTTCTTGCTCAGGTTGTTCGCGAAGGAGAGTAGTAATGAATGCAAGGGATTGCGTGCGAACATAGGGTAGCGGATCAAGGGTGAATACCTGAATCACAAGACGAGACGCGCACATCTAGCTTCATAGACGAAGAAAGAAGAGGATTGAACACGTACTTCCAAGACCTGGAGCACACTGAAGAAGTACTTCTTCAGCCAGTCCTCAAAATACCATAACGCGAGGTGCACATCCGTCACGCCAGGATTAAGCAGTGGTTGATCGCGAAAATATCTATTGAAATAAACGCGATCGGTGGAAGTCGCGAAGTCGGTGATTGGATATTACGCACCTCAACTTCCTGCCCGGCCCTCCTCCTCCAACCCACCAATCAACAACGCACCTCGCCGCACGCAAGCCCTCCTCCCGTCCTCCACCTCCCTTCCTCTCCATCATGCCCCGTAGTGTTTCCAGTGGGCGTGCATTGTGCACCGGGCTCCCTTGCACCAGCAACGTGAGCGCGCTCAGCCGATCACTCAATGTTCCGCCCTTGAGCACCGTCTCCAAAAATTTGGCGTCTCCGCTCGAACCGACGCCAGCATTGGATGCATGATACGCTTCTGCGTCTTGCGCAAGGAGACGAGCCGCGCGTGAAGAGAGTTCCGAGAGCTGTGACGGTGTCGGAGCAGGGGAAGGAGAAGAGGGAGAGACAAGTGCTGATGCAGTAGCGTACCAACGCGAATTTGGCTCGACAATGAATTTATGCCGTTTATGTGAAGGTACAGAACCTGAAGTGAGAGATGCGGAGGATGCTGCATTGGTCTGCAATTTTTCGGGAGAGGAGTTAGAGGACGCGGCTTCTACAGCCTGCGGCCTCCTCCGGGTTTGGGGGCTCGTTTTGGAATCCCTTTTCTGTCTCTCGCTGTCGTGCTTTTGCTTGGCAGCTTTTTTGGCGACGGGAGATGATCGTTCAGGTTGCCGGCCCAGTGTGAGATCTGAGAGAAATGAGGAAACATCTTTCAGTAGCGTTGGCTACCATAAATCATCAGCAACGAAAGAGAATATAACGGATGACCAGAAAGACACACACGTCTTCAGGTTGTGCATCTGTTACGAGCTCGGACGGTTCATTGCCTTTATTGATCTTCGCCTTTCCCTTCGCTTTGTTCTTCCCATCACTCTGCGTTCGGGGCTTGGTAGTGGACTTGCCTTCGCGTAAACGAGCCATACCTGAGCTCTTCCGCACGTCTGCAGAGCCTGCGGGCTCAGAACTGGGACTGGCAGAGAAATATGCGGGAAGCAGTTGCGGCGAAGATGAGATTGCCAAAAATGGGTTGCGCGCGCCGATTTGCATCAAAATATTCTTTCCGCAGCTTGTCAGTCTCTGCTTTGCCTTGCCATCTGCTTGTATTTTCTGTTGCGCACAACAAAGGCCAGCAAAGCATGCTGACGAAGCTGAATGAGGATCAAGCAAGTTCAACATGCTGAGGTTCGAGAACAATCCTCTCCCACCGTTTGTCTCTCGCTCCGCGGGCCGTTGCTCTGTTCTCGACCACGACGATGGTTTTCCCGCTCGCTGAACCAACAAACGCTTCACACATGGCGAAGACTTTACAACCCTGAACCTCCTTCTAAATCATCCAATGCAATGACTCCGGAATTGACAGGCCAACTGCTGCTACGACATAGGCAACATTATCGGTTTCGCCGAGGTGCCCTTGCCTACCGTAAAAGGTCCCCTTCTTCAACGCCTCATTTCACTCGACACGTGTGAACAGGTCGCGCGCGCACACGCAGTTGCTCACGTTCAAGCACAATAATTATTGTAAATTGAACAAATGAAAGAAAGACGTAGGCCTGAGCCAACGCATGAAACCAATGTGGGCAGGTACGAGCACGCTGATGAAGTAATGTCCGCGAATTGTGGGACGAAATACAATGCGTCTATTGTGAGGAGCGGACGACGTGGTTGTGCACATGTGCAACTTTTGCAGGAGCGCCAGTAGGAGCCTCGATGACTCTTTAACTTATCATGAACTATTCGCAAAGTACGTACTCACTCGTGTCCGCACTCCCACCGCTTCTCGTTCCCTCTCCCCTAGTTTTTTTTACCTTGTGCATCCCCCACTTCTTGCTTCGATTGATTTAAGGTATGTTCCTCCGAAGCCTTGGCGGAAGCCCGCCGCTGCCTTTCCGTGGCAATACCCTCATTCCTTCGAACGTGAAGATTTGAACATCACAGCCGAGGGGATTGTAGCCTAAGTGGGAGCCTTATCGTTCCATCCGCCCACTCGAAGAATGCAACGATATTTTCTTGGAGGTGGTATTCCTCTCTGCCGAAAGCTGATTCTTGACTCGGCTAACCACGAAGAGGAAGCACACACTCGCGGGAGCAATCCTTCCTTCGTTACCCTTCATAGCCTTCTTTTACCGGGGGCGAACACGTATTCCTATGGCGAAGGTCGCGCTTCCCGTAATCCATGTGTCGGATTGGTGCTTTCTCTTGGCCTCCCGAGCTCTCATCGCCTAAGAAGATAGAAGGCACTGTTTCCTAAAGCTACTTCCCAACTGGTATTGGATTTCCGGTTAGTTGTCCAGGTAGTGATTCTGCTTCTTTGGACGTAGTCTCTGCGGCACTTCTTGCACGATCTCTTCGGTGCAGTATGTCGGCCGGATCTCACTCTGAGGAAGCATTCTTACTCCCTGCACATGCCACACTGTCAACTGAACGTCGTTCATGGCTTCCGAATTGACCGAAGAACATTACTGAGGCCCATCCTCTATGAACATCAATACTGGCTATGTTTGCTGCCTCAAGCAAATCCATCGATACCTTGGGCCGATTTCACCTTTGGCGTCATCTCCACTTGTCGATTGCTTGTATGACGCATACTCGTGTTCTACGCGCTCGGAGTCGGTAATTTTGCCTGCTCACCGTACTCTTCGAAGTCCGTCGCCCTTAGTCTGCAACATCTCACGTCGCGGTGCTGAGAATCCAAGAGCCCTAATCTATGCCCTTTTGCAAAACACTGTTCACTTCCTCGATTGGGCGAGTGCCCGTAGAATCTTCGCAGATGCTGGCTCAGTTTAATGACAATCTTGAATAGCGGTTATTGTCATGACTACCCGCTGCCCAAAGACTGGGTGACAGCGGTCAATCACGATCGGCGTCGGTGAGCTGGAAGGTTGCAATCTCATTGCAATTGCGAGTCCGCCTACGACCTGGACATTGCACCCTATTGTACCGGCCAGCCAAACACGCGCCGTGACGAAGCAAGTGGTCATCTTAAGCACGCGCCCAAGGAAGCCTGGTGCTTCTACGATGAGTGACGTGTACTGTCGACAAATTTCGTTTTGATATAAGCGTGAAGAAGTGCTCTCATGACTCTGGACAAAGCGTTACACCAGATCCCCCATCGCTTGGCGTCCTGTCGATATGCGGGGTCCCCGCGTCATTCACCACCGCAATCCACCCAAATGTATATGGACCCCTTGACGGGCATACACGTCGTTACTGAATGTGCTCTGCATCATGACAGATCACCAATCACGTATCCGCAGTATGCTCGTAGACTCTCATTGTCGTTCCGGTGGCAGGAGCATTTAGACGATCATCTGAATTCAACAGTCTGCAGCATGGTCAATCCACTACATCATTTACGTCCAGAATGCGTGCACATCGTGTAAGGTCTGCACAGTGCCTGCCAAGGAAATGTAGGTTGGGCCAGCTTGCCTTTTGAGACCATCAAGTCGTTGATAATGTCATGATGGCCCATGGGTGTTATGGCCTCAATAGCCTTGCTCCCATCCCTCATGCATGAGGTGACGGAGTTGGTAAAGATCACTAATACGTGCTGCGCTAATGCTGAATCTGACCCGCCGTCGACTGGAGCTCAGGGCCGCTGCTCGGCAATTACCTCACCAGCGACCATGCGTTACTCGCATTGTTCAATACCATCGAAGCATGAACAGCACGAGCGCTGCATGGTGCGACCCGGGCGTCTAGGACGAATCAAGTATCTGTTCCCTTCCTCAATATCTCTTCCATGTCGTTCCGCAGTGTATTATCCTGTACAAAGAATAGGTTGCTTCTAGCCGCTGTCACCCGCAAATTTCGGCGACTTCCCTTCTCCATCGCCAACCGCGTGGTAAAGTGATACTACTTTGGTCCTTTGAGACGCTGTAGGATCAGCCTAGTCCCACGAGCTTCGAGCGGCGAGTTGCAAACAAGGAGGCAAGGATGGAAGACTTTGGACGAGTTGCCCGTGCATCGCTTAAACTCCCTCGCTTCGTGGGTTCTCGTAGAAAGGCAACATAGTGTCAATACATTGTGCCTGCGATATTCGCGTATGCGTTAGGCACGGACCAGCCTGTTCTCATCCTCCATTGACGAGACCCGCCCGGTGGCCGACTGGAGTTTCCCTTCTGTCAAAGCGGCTGCAGTAAGTTGTCTCCCATCCGATTCGGCTGTCCTCGTAGCTAACGACCCAGTTAGACGAATATCGAATAATTTCAAGTTTTCCGGAGTCCGCATCGCTCGCACTCCGTCGGAATGGGATCTATCCCGATCGGAGACCCGCATAGGCACACGAATATGTGGAATTTCACTCAGGCCGTTTGAATACCGCGTGCAGGTCAGCCAAACATCTCTATGTCAACCGTGGACAGATCACGATATATCGTATGAAACTGATGCTGATGCTGTCAATCAATGCCCTAAATTCACAAACCCAAGCCAGGGACGGGGACAGCCGTCGACGCCTTTCTGGTTGATGGTAGAGGCAATCTGCGATTGGTCCTCACAGAGACCCTGGGACCAGTCATATATCCAAGAAAGTCGGAATTACAGCGAATGGGATTGCGTTATAGAAATCTGCGCATATGATACTGTCTCTGGCTGCAAACTGCGCACCGCTGGCCAATCGTTGCTCGCCCGACTCTCGGTAACTCAGTCCTCCTTCGTCCTCAGCTTCGCATGGTGGGAACGATGCGCATGCGGTGAACGGTCGACTATTGGTCGTCCGTTCCGTCACAGCTCTGATTGGATGACCACGGAGTACGCAACTGTCGCCTGCTACCTTGAAATGAGCCTATCACGAGCTGACAAGCACTCACAATGGTCATTTATCTCACGCATGATTGATGGTGCGAAAAGAACGGCACTTCTATCAACATTATGATGAGCTACAAGGATAGGCATACAGCAATACAACGCAGATAATTGTCCGATTAGAGCCCAAAAAGAATCCGAAATTTTTCTAAGGAGAGTGCCAAGGCCACCGAGTTCACCGCGCGGTGGCAAGGAGGTACGGCAGGGACAGTGATTATTTACCACTAAACCAAGGTGCAAATGATGCACGGGCTACCAACGTCCGCTGACAAGTGATATGATGACACCGAAAAGGGCGTGTTTTGACGGGGGAAAGCGCTTCTAAGCCACCTTCCGTCGACGGATCATGAAACTGTGACAAGTTGCAGGGAAGCGAATAGCAGGGTCAGTACACGGCTAGAGCGCGCCCTAGATGACATGCTTACGCGGAGTGGATGTTCGGGCTTCGATTGTATTGGAATAGAATGTCCGGCAATCTGCCTTGCGGGCTGTGCTTGATCTCGTAATTTGTCATTAAGTGAGCCATGGTCGCCTTCAGGATGTAGGTTGCCAAAAACCGCCCAGGCTATACGAGGATGAAGAGCAGAAGATCATTTAGATTTACCAAACACTGAACAATCATTCACGCACGCTATAAATAATCTTGTCAACTTCCATTCTAGCAGAGATCACAAAAGAAAAACTCACCATGGGTATTTGCCGTGGCCGAAGATGAGATAGCGCGGGTTGGTGCGAATCATATTGCTGCTGTTATTTGAGGAACCTCCAGAGCTTTCTTGCAAAAAACGGAATGCATCGAAGGTAAACGGATCCGGGTAGAACTCTTCGTCCACATGAACATAGAACGCCGAAGAGATGTACGAGCCCTCGGGGACCGTAGTGCCGTCCGAGAACGTGATATCTCTAAGCGCCTTCCGGGGGAAGCTCACTATCCGCACATCAGTGACCGTTGACAAGTCAGGGATATGCGGCACTCACTTGTTCCCAGCCCGTTCAGTCGAGACGATTCCTTGAAGAAGCTGTCGGTCTTGACGAGTTGGTTGACCATCTGCTTCGTCCAGCCCTGTGTGTAGATCGCCTCGTCTGCCTCCTCTCTCAATGGAGCAACGTATTCCATGTGATCCAGCAGGTTATTCAATCCGTGCACGAAGGTCTATGACATGTGTCAGACGCGATTCAAATGTGAAGAGGTATTCGCCCACCGTCGCAGTGGTGTGGATCGTGGCGATATTGATGACAAGGATCCTGATTGCCAGACGTTCCGGTTCCCGTTCGCGACCTTGAGCTGCCTCCATGAGCCACATCAACAAATCCATCTGCCGAAAGTCGGATGAGCTATAGGGCAGGCGAGTGAGGAACATGCGCTGCATACAGGCTTATCTTGCCACTCCGGGCCGTACTCAGCCATCGCCGCCTGCCTCTCAGCAATGACGGGTCCGAGGGAAGCAAGTGATCTTCTTGTCAACGATGGCAGTCGTGTGATGGCTCTTCCAACGATTCTGTAACATGGCGTCAATATCAGCTGACTGCATACAATGGTGGGACTCACGGTTGAAGGAATGTGGGGAATAGATTAATAATGAAACCGACGATAGATGTCTCGAACGCGAACTCCTTGCAAGTAGCAGTGTATTTAGCACTGCGGCCTAGACCAACGTCGCGAAATCAGTGGCACGTCTGCGAGCCAGCAGCCCTGTGATACATACAGGTAGGTGCACCGACGAGTATGCGGTTGAAAGTGCGTGCGACAATGTCGATGAAGCTATCGAAAGCGTTCAATTCTGTCCATGTGTCTGAAACGTGGGATGGATGTGAGTCTCGCTCGTGGTGTGGCCTGGACTCCGACATACCACCGCACTTCTTGCCGATCGTGTCTTCGAACGCCATTGGGAGCTCGTCTAGACACTCTCGCACAAGATAGTCAATATGGCGGGTTAGCTAGTGTATGTGTCAGACACATGCCAGAAGGTCCGGACGGGACGTTACGTACTCTTGTCCTGAGAATGGAAAGGTGATAGGGGTCATCGTGGAGCTGCTTTCCCATGGTATATGGCAGTTGCAGTTCCTATCGAAGCGTATCAGTCCGTGACACAGGACTTTGGCTGAGATCACTCACATCATGAGCAGCATATCGCAGCGACAACACGTCATCGGGGAGATGATACATCTCGTCGACTGTGGACGATCGGTACTCGTGCATATAGAATATTAGCCTGTTACGTACTGCACTTCTCATTGGCTACAATATATGCCCAGTTGTTCCAGAGCGGCAGCCGGAAGAAGCCACCTTTGTACTACTAAAGCGTCAGACGGCATAACAATCGAGCAAAATTTGCCGTACCTTCTTGTAGCCCTCCTCCACCATGCGTGCAGAGTTGATGGCAAACCGCGCAGCTCCATAGTATGCACCGAGCCACCGAGGGTAGCCAACTAGGGGAACGGGATTCTATGGCGGAATGAGTTGCAATAGCGACGCATAATTCACAACACGTTACCTTGGTGGCGAGGAATGAGAAGACGTAGGACAGAACCACGACATTGACGACAATGCAAGCAATCAGCGCCGGGCTGCCTAGAACTGTATGTCGAAAGCCGGAAATGAATCCAGCAACGCTGCCAGCAGGACGTCCGAACATCTCTTCGGAGTAGAGGGATGTGGACAACACAGGGAACCTGTTGAGAGTGATCGACATTGCGTCGGCTGAGGTGTGTACCAGCAGATGGGGAAGAGCTCGCTTTTATATCCGAAGACCACTCCGCAAGCATGTAGATTCCATGCAAGGACGTGACATACCGGCTTGGTGCATGGTTCTGTACCTCGACGGAGTCTGTATCGCACCCTGGGACCTCAACCCATCAATCAGGAAGTGCCGCGCAAATAACACAGCCGAAATTAATCGCACCCTTACCACCGCAGATAAAACACGTTCTTGATCTTCCCTGTCACAGTGACCCAGAAATGCGGGTAGAAACGCCGTCACGGAGGGCATGCTGTATGTGGAGATGCTCGGCGAATATCCAAAGAGATACTGATCCTGATCGCGCAGAGAAGCATAAACAGGGTCGCTGAACTGGTACACGCGGGCATCGAAGGAATATCAGTACGTCATTGTGATTTCTGGCTGTCCATTTAGGCGCATAAGGGCAATTGGCGGCGCAGACGTCGCTCTTCCTATGATTTCGGCTGCTGAAACAAGGACATGGACAAATTCTGGGCACATAAATAGTTGTATGCCACATTGTGTGCTATTCGGGCTGGCTATTGCTTCGGCGAGCATGACGACATTAATACCTGATCTTACAACGCCACGGATGGTCCTACATAAGTATGCTTCCATATCACTGCCATGCAAACGAGTCTTTGGTGCGCCAGCATGAATGTTGCTGTCTTGAGATCTTCCCAGGCCTAGAGTCAGATTTTCGGTGAAAGCATACATCCAACCTTGAATAGCACTAAGCCATGAATTATATGCATGCTGATGAGGCCCCTCTTCTCCCATCGACGCATAACGCGGCGTCGCAAGTACTCATGACATGCTCAGCGGTTTCCTAGCGGCTATCGAGCTGAACGAGATGGTGAAGGTCTCCGACATCAAGGGAAGTCGAAGTAGAACAAGATATTGGGCAAAAATGCGCCTGTACTCAGTCCGTCTGGTAGAAAGAGCGCATGGTCATGCAGTCTCGAACGCGAGGGAGACAGTTGGCGGGAAGCAAGACGGCGTTTGTGGCAACTCCGACTATTAAGAATTGTCACGGTCACGTTTTTAGTGTGGGAGCGTGACAGCATTCTCCATTCAACTCGAATCCCTCGATGGGCGCTTGTTGTCACATTACCACAGCTCCCGGCGGGAGGCAACCATTCTCATTCTTCAGTTTGCTTACTTGATGTAGTCAGTTAACCTCAAGCATTTTGAGTGCGACGACTCAATTGATCTCTCGCCTCGACGACCAAATCTATCGCCTCTCGGCTAATCCGTTCAAGTTTGCTCCAACGTTTCACACGCGAAAATGCGACCGGGTCGTGTTCAAGTTCACCACACCTTCTGTGATAAGTCATGACAGTTGGCATCCAGGCGCGTGTTGATTCAGCTGAGGAACCGGGTGTGCAGATGTTCTGTACTTCCCGATATCAGTTTCCTTGGATTAAGAGCCCCGGTCTCTGGCTCTATTGACCAGTGCGACGATGGAAGATTGAGTGCTGTCAATCACGTTGTTCATGTGAGTGTTGCGCCTTGCAAGGAGCGGCAACCGAGATACTTAGGTATCGGCGATAGAGGCGTGCTCTTGTTAGCCCGACTCTGCCGCATTATTTACTATCTCCGTATGGCGGCCACCTGTAAGCACGACCATGTCGCACCTCCTGCCGGGTGCGATGCGCAGTGTCCTCTGAACTCAGCAAAGAAGATGGCCATCCAGGATGATGCAGCACTTCTCGGGGATTCCAGGCCGCAGCCTTCGTCCAATACGTTCGAATCCAGGTCCGCCTAAGACCAGTGGCGATGCATGTTGCCGAAGTCCGGCTACATACAATGCTCCTCCGCTCAAACTCAATTGAGCGTACCGAAGATGCAAGGATGATTGTCCTGCACAAGCGCGCTACGGGCAGGAGACTGCACCCACTAGGTTCATGGACTTTCATCGGAGGAGAGGAATCTGCGAGCTGGCAGGCGACGATGAGCGCTTGATCCCACACCGGCATGCTTCTCTCGGATCAGAACTCATCTGACTCCCACCGTTCAAAACGGCACGGTCCGTCTGACATTATCGCCCACAACAAGCTTGTCTGACATCTAAGCAAGTCGGGGTTAGCAGTAGCGACGCCGTTTCCGGTTCTCTGCCCTCATGTGGTGCCTGAGTGGCACATGTCTGATACACGCTCATCGGTACTCCTCCCTTTACTGAGCGGCCGTTCCATCGCCCATAAACGAATTTGCAACTACGTCCCGCTGACCCTTTCGACCGGCTCGTCGCCATCGGCAATGCTTGGCCTCGGCCTGAAGCCAATCACGTTGGGTAGCCTTATACGTCCAGCAAAGTCTTGTACCTAGCTTTTGTAGGACTGCGCTCAGAAAGGTCGGATTTATGTGACTGATCACACCGCCAAGCTTACGCCAGCCCACGATATCAAATGCAAGCTACATGACGAATTGAAAGAGCATCCAATTCGCATGCTGATGCGGTGCATCGGAGAACGGATGAAAGTCATTCCTCCTGGTGGACTTGTTTCCTGATTCTGAATCCGTTGACAAGGATGAAACAGTGCCCCAAAATCCCAGAAATCGCCGTGAGTACGGTCAATGGAGTGCTCACCTCAGAATCGCGATAGAACCCCCTTCCCGGAGGCGTTGTTGGTCAACGCAGTGCTGCACCAGATGGCGCCTCCAGCAACCAACTTGCAGGTGTGCCTGTCTCAGATGGCATTTACGTGAGAGGCTCTCAGGGCTGTCAGGGCTGTGAGGGAGAAAGAGAGTGTGAAGTCGACATCGTTGGGCAACTACTACACTTATGACGACTAACTCTTTTCTAAGGCGATCACAGATATCACGGGCGCGGACTTCGCTGCGCGGCTCCGAGGAACAATTTGACTATGATCTGCTTCACTGTTCATGTAAGGGCGGACCCGAGTCGTGGCATTCAGTGCTATCGCAATCGCAAGTGTAGAGAATCCAACGCACGCGGCATCAACCCGAGCCGAGGGCAAGTGTCAAACGCATGCGTTGAGAACGGAACTTGTTTAGTAAATGCCTTCCTCTTCTCTTGGTTTCGTGGTTACAACGGCGCTTGGACAAAAAATGCAATCAAGCGACACGGCTTCTCATTCTACCATCTGTGTAGCGAAAGCCGTGCCGCACGCGCTGTCGATTACGTGCGTTGGGATCGGAGAAGTTTGGGAGCGCGTGGTTGAGAAAGGCAACAAGATCTATTTCTGCCAGCGTGTTCTTTCATATCCTGGTTTCGCGGACGGCAACCCGCGAAGAGAGAGCCACATGGACACAAGCATGTCAAAATCAATGCAACCAGCCGATTTGATGCTAACGGCGGACTTGACAGCTTCAGTGACTGCAGAACGATGGAGACGCATCTGGCAGATGGAGAGCGACGTCTTCAGACGAGGAATCCAAGACGCCATAGACAAAGTACCGCGACGATTGTTAGAGGATCCCTGCTCTCACGCAAGTGGAGTGCACTTGCCAAGAAGCCCGCTCTGGCAGCTCCCTGTGTGAAACTGCACACCGAGATCCCCGATCAAGATAGCATTCGAACGGCCATAGAGCGTTAAGTCACTCGAACGGTGAATGCGAGATCAACTCAGTGATGCCGGTTGGTGCTCCGGTCATAGCGCTGATGCCATGTACATGTGCTATTCTGCACCCACTGAGTGATTCTGGTATTTCGAAGCTAACTTACAGAATGCACATACCGCAATCTCTCCTAGCGTGAGCTCCCGGCAAACTTCCGCCGTCCTATTTTGTAATCAGGCTCTGGAAGGCTCTCTTCGCTTGCGCTGTGGATTAGATGTCAAACCGTCAGTTTGAAACGTCAGATGTAAGGCAGTTGCGTGCAATGGTCCTTACTTCGTTAGTGCCGACGTGGAAAGACGATGTTAAACAAAGATGACCGACAATCCCGCAGAGGCCACCTTTTCCATTGACAGAAGCATGGAAGACTTGTGGAGACACGATTGATAGCGAGAAATGAGCAGAAGTATCGACACACAGAGCACGGGACATGCGAATGCAAAGAGCAGTCTGGCGGACCGAGATACAATAGGACAAGTCGAGGCACAAGAGGTGGCGCTTTGGTGTGGAGCATCAAGGAAGCTATGATTGCGCGACAACTGCACAATCTTGTCGTAGGATTGATTATCATGCGGACTTGATGAGGCAAAGAAGCAACGCCGCCATGCGGACAGGTTATCGCCCTCCAACACGATAACACCGTTGTGAACATTGCTTGGTCATGACGCAGCAAAAGTGGGCCACCTTCTCCCGGACTGGGTAGATTCTCCTGGAACAGCACTCAAAAGCTGAAGCGCCGACTCATGGAGCGTAGGTTGTGTCAGCTAGATTGATGAAAGGCTGCCTGGACGGCCCTAGCAATGTCAGCACACTCACAACACGCCTTGAAACGAAGAACGTGCTACCTGCAACGAGTAGCCTCGCAAGGCTCCCAAAAACAGTCCGATGGATTGTATGCTACCATCAGTCGCTTATCAATGGACGCGGAAGAGCGTCTGCGTGTCATTTGAGGGATTACAGAAGGCAGTTGGATGGTACGGATTCGCACCTATTTGGACCGGCATGGCGCCGTCGTTGGCAGACTCTTATAGACCCTTCATGAGTATTCGTCGACATATCGAGCGCTCGCTGAACAATCAGCGCTCAGCCTCCATTGACGATGTATGAACGCTGCGAGGCGCTTCATGAGCGCGATTCTGAGCTCGGCGTCCGATTTGTTCACAGTGCAGTGGCGAACGCCGGTTTTACAAATATACTAGATCCCAGGACGGCGCCCTTGATTCACGCATCAGAATCGATGACATTCCGACGCTCTTCAAAAAAGACGAAAAGATGATCCGGTATGCAGCGAGAGCGAGTTCATGGGACCCATACCTCGTAGCATCGACGAAGCTGTGCGACGTTCGGTAAATCCGAACCTCGTCATCGAAAGAATGCCGGTCAGACTTGCTCGGCGACACACGGTGCTGACACCGCACTGACTTGCAGTCGATTTGCTGCTGCACTTAGTAAAGTCAGTTCAATCAGACGCATGGTGTTCTAGTAAGAATTTGAGCATGAGGCGGAGAAGTGGATGAAGATGCTCAGGCGACAGTAGACCTCTCTTCTCAAGCATGAAGGCGTCGTGCCTCCGTGGTCACTGATCGAGACTTAGGGACGTGTTTGATGATCACGTTGACTCATCTTTCCCCGACGCCAGCCGGGTCGCCGCGGCCCGCCTCGAGGCGCGGGATTCTCGGAGAGATGTAGGCTCGTCCCGCTCATCATGCACATGCACTTGGTCATTTCAGCGGATGCGGCTAGCCAAAACGTCTCACACCGTAGCCGTCGGGCATTGCGCGCATGAACGCACAGCGTGCAGCGCCTCGTAGAGGTTGCTCATTGTGGAGTACAGTATTGACAAGTCAGCGCCATATTCTGGCGTGAAACAACATTTAAATTTGATATTGCAGATGACGTGCAGGTCCTGAACATATACTTCGCGTTGAGGCCAAAAGACGACTTCAATGACGCAGGCCGGTTTGCAAGACCGGCGTGTGCTATGTTCACTTTGTGTTTGGCCGACTGCTAGCGCCTTGCGAATTTTCTTCGCTCATTCTTCTGTTCTTATAGATCATCGGATGTTCTGAAAGCTTTGCCTCCAATTCGGTCAATACGCTATACAATACGAGAGCTGTCTCAAAAATACACCAGCTTGCAGCAAACAATGAGCAATACTCCCGGAGAAATGCCCTAGCAAAGTCAGGTACATGATCGCACTGCTTGACGGGCGCATCAGTTGACTACATTGCGCGCTCTTTGTTAGCCTTTATACTTTGACGTTTCAAACTAACTGACATCCTAATCATTTTCTACGACAACTCAGTGCCTTAAACACGTCGACACTGCCTAGTCACCTGCGTGAAATATGCGAGCGGATTGGCTTGTGGACGACGCTCACATAGGACAAAGTATCAGCTGAACAGAAATAGGACATCACAATGAACGTGTAGTGGCACGGCGCAACGGGAACGTTGACCTTTGCGAGACGTCCCCGTCCCATCACGTACTGCGACAGGGACCGACGCACGTTCAGGGCGTACTCCACGGGGAGGAACCTCCGGACTTTGCGAACAGGAAAGCAGTTTGGCGCCTTCACGGGGCCTCATATAAATTCTCAGCATGCTTCACCAACAAGCAGCGTAGTCTCACTGCATCTTCAACTGAGCGGTTCTTCGACCCAGCACCTCATCCGTCTTACAATGTTTGCATTCGCTCTCGTTTCCGTTGTCTTCGCGGCGGCTGCCAACGGCTTGCCAAACGTTGGCATCCGACAAGACTTCGACTCCTGCGGAACTCTCGCGAATTCATCTCCCAACGGATCCAACTTCACTCTAGTTGCTTCCAGCGTGGCAGACGGCGCGAACAGCGCGCTCGTGCTTGGCCCCAACAGCATCGGCATCTCGGGCGCAAACGCTGTTTTGGTGGTTAGTCTTGCTTCTCGTCGTGCCATACGGATGTGGAATTCTGACTTTCTTGTTTTCTGCGACTCAGACCGCCGCTTCATACACCGGGGGCGGTTACCCAGGGCCAAGCTGGTCGCTACTCGAAGGCGCTCTCATAGCATCCGCTGACCCGGCTGGCGCGTCCGCGTATGATTTGTCCGTCAATGCTGGATCGGGGCTTGGCTTCATAGTCTCTGAGGAAAACCAATCCAGTGCTCAGATCTACTGCATCCAGGTAAGCATTTTAAACTGCACTGTACATATACTATGGCTCAACGGTGCACTGCAATAGTCCATCGGCGATCCGGCTGGGTTGAACCATCCGCACCTCGCTGTCAACGGACAAACGGAGGATTTCTCGCTCTGTGCCAGCACCAGTTCAGGCGCAGAGGCGGTGATCTATCAGAGCACTAACGACAACGGCGGAGAGTACGACTACGATAGCTGCTATGCAGTCAATATCGAAGTTGTGTATTAGTTGCCGTTGTTGAGGTCCAATGGCTGTGCTGGAATCGTATACAGTTAGTGGAGCCGGATGCCTCGGTGTTCAATGTTCATTTACTCATGCACAATAGCACGAATACCGAAGCCGAGTCGTGGTTTTACTGTTTTTGTGCAAAAGAGTTGTCGAACCAGCACAATCGCTATGATATAGTCAACACGCTAGTATCAAGCAGGAATATTATAAAACGCCACTCGGAATTGAGTACTCAAGCAGTTGACACCTTTTCCAGACCAGCTGCGCTCTTAATCCCAGAGTCATTTGGGCTTATACAACGCTGGTACCATATACCATTTCCATTGCTTTGAATGATTCTCATTTGTTTTCCGGTTTCGACTAAGCGCGCAAACAAGCGCCATAAAGAGGCCAACACTGCGCGCGATGTGCCACGTAATCATATCAGCCACACTGAGGCGCAGCGTCTGTTCGTCTCTAACGGACTCCCTTTGCATTCGTGCTACTTCGCAAAATCCATCTGGAATGCCATCCGGAAAACCAGCCTTTCTTTCTATACTACCGTACGCACATTTGGTTGATCAAGGTACCTCTCAGCCGGAATGATCCCACTAAAACTTCGGGTTCATTCCACTCAGCACTGTAATCGCCATGGCACTTTTGAACCACAGCGAATGGAGCGAAACATGGTGAATCTTGGAACCCGCGTTACGTCGCTAGAAGATACAACCTCTGGCTACTTGTGGTGAATGGTTGCAAAGGAATCGGAGGATGACGCACGCTAGCGCATCGAAAAGCTACTAGAAGCACCTAGCATAGCGAGGAAAAGCTTCATACGCAAACAGAAGGCACTGCGGTTGATGACAATGCGCCCTAATGCGCCTCTTCTTTCAATGTTGCGTCGCCATCGTATGTGATCTTGATCGCATCGACTATTCTACAGCGACTGAAATACTGAGCTATAGTTTCGCTCCGTTAAAACGTTCCTCCCTTCACAGTCAGCGGTCGGCCGTCATTCGTGTTACTCACAACAAAGGTCTTTTGACGATCATTGAATTATTGACCTCATAATTCAGTCCTTCTTTTGTGAATCTGTTTCCACCATGTTGTCTTGTGGCCTCCTTTGCCTGGCACTGGCTTCGGCTTCCCTTGCGCTTCCTGCTACCCTGACAGCTCGCACCTCGTCATCGTGCTCGGGCCTTGGTGGCGGCGCTTTTGACACTGCCCATAACTTCACGCTTGCTGCATACAATCTCGGCGCTTCGAACGCAAACGCGACTGGAGCGCCACTCGTTCTTGGACCTAACGGCGAAAGCGATGGGCAGGAGTACAAGGTGCTGTCGGTACGTCACGTCAAAGGTGTTACTCGGTACCGCGAAGTATTGAGTCTGGTGCGCAGACGTATGCTTCTTATCCCTACGATGTCGACAGCTACCCGAGTTTTTCGTTGAATGCGGGTGTGCTCAAACCAAATCCGAGCAATGCGAGCATGTCGTCGACCGACGTCAGCGTGGCAGAGGGAAGCATGCCTAAGTTTGTCGTGAGCTCAAGCAGTTTGTCCGATTCCGCGCCGATCTATTGCGCAGTGGTGCGTTCATTCATTCTTGCTGAGCTGGTCGATTCAATCCAAACCTCATGTGTTGCCAGGCTTCCATTGACCCTGACGGCGGCTCCGACTACCCCGAGCTCGCTGTCAACGGCGAGATAGACGCGTTCTCACTGTGCATGAATGGCGCTCAGAAGAACGTTGTCTACAAGGCGACTTCCGAAAACTCGTGCGCATACAATCACGATAGCTGCTACCCTGTGCGTGTGCAGCTCGTTGGTCTGGACTGAAACGGAGCGCCACGGCAGTTGCGAGGAAGTCGGACGTTGATGGATTCTCGGACGCTGGACAACTTCCATATTCTACTTTACTCACCGGTGATGGTACCTCCGTAGCTCACTTTGGCTCCTGCACTTAATGGTGATGTGCTTCTTCGGCTTCGTGTCCGGAGACTGCCTTTTGCGGTATGAAACGTGCGGCAGCGTCAATGTAGGGATTGACCATGTCGTAATGCTGCCGACGACTGGTCGGTTTGTATGTCTCTCATCTGAGTGGCTCGTACTCGTCCCCCACATCATGGAAGCAGGCACGCAATCCACATTCGTTTGAGTGGTTACTGATGGGCCCTTGGTCGCGTAAACAAGAAGGTTCATACCCTAGGGCGATCCCACGAGCGGGAGCTGCGGCCGCGAACAGATATAAAGCGTCAGGCTTCGTATGTTTGTCATCTCTTCCGCGATATCAACGCTCTTCACGAGTCGTATTTGGAAACAGAGAATGCGCTCGGAGCGCCGGATCATCAGCATCTATCAAGACGTTCGATGTGGAACTCAATCCATTCATACTGCATCGTGCCTGACGCATTGTTGATGTGGCCCCTGCCTCGAAATAGAGAACGAATCGCCACTTGTGCGCGGCCTTGTTGGCGTCAGCTTGCGCTTCGCGACATTCGCAAGAAGCACTTTGCATGGTCATTATTAGACTAGGACGGGACGTAATTGATCTGTCATGTCGTTGAAGGTAAGCTTCTGCCACATCATGCACATGCGACTGCATTCCATCTAGAATGGATCTTTGTTCCTCAGTACTCAGCGGCCGAAGTCCGACCACCACACACATGGCTGGAGCAGACGGGGTTCTGCAGATCACTCCTTAGTATGGTCGTATGGAACGGACACTACGGGTACAGGCGTCGGCCAAATGGCCGGTCTGTGGGAAATTGCAGCAAGGACTGTGCTATCTAAAGTTTCATCTGGTATCGTCGCTGAATCACAGCGGCCGCAATGCCTGTGCCTTATCCTCAATCTAGCGTGCTGATATTGGATATCTCCTTCTAGAGCGTGACTCTTGGGTAACGTGTAGAGCCTCATGTTCGTACGACTCGGTCTCGGAGATGAACGTTAACCCTGGATCTTATGTATTCGGTACCGATTTCGGTCAAGACTCGAGCCCGTGTACGTATAGCCTCAAGCATCCACTGTGACTCACAGCTATACGGAAGTGGACAAACTAACGGCGATGGTGCGCGCTGTAATTGTATGGCAATCTTCCCCATTATTCGGTCTATATTGACCGGCTTGCGATGTACCAGCATGACCGCCAAACAAAAATATTAGGAAGCTGCAGAGGATTGAAGGAACTGTCTCACTGCGCACTAGAGACCAGCCGCGGATCGAGAGAATCCTCTCGTCACCTACTGCACTGCAAGGGCTGGCACTGCGGCCATTGCCTCGGGACTCGGACACCGTAGTCTCGTTCTCTCAGCAATCGCAACGAGACTTTGGCGGCTGATAGAGCTTCTATGTGGACCGTCTTAACTGCGGCTATCCCACCGGTCTTCAGCCGACATTAATGAGAGTGTATTTCCGGTGCTTCTGCTCTCACATACACGATCTTTTGAGACTGCGCTGTGAAACTCGTTAGTGCATAGAAGGAATCATACGTACGCGTACCTTTTGTGTTTTCTAATTTTCTGACTATCTTAGGGACACCTTTGCACGTTCCACGTGAACCTTTTTGAGATCGATTCTCCTATTCTGCTATACGAGGTATAGTCTGTGCTGGGCATCGCGGGGATGACAATGACTGGGCTCTGTTCATTCTATTGGGCTTGAAGAATGTACCAGCAAGCCTAGACAGATGCACGCTTCCATTACTATCCCAGCATGAAGTACTAGTCCATCCGGAGAAGGTAAAAATTGCTAGTGATGTGTAAATCAGGTGGCTCTGGAAAGTTAGCATATTCGCAGTGGGACATAACGCGGACGGGACAAACGCGAACGCGACGCGTCGGTCACATGGTCGCTCCTTACTTCGCATGTGGCGACAACCTTGACTTTGTGACCTTGGCTTCCATCTCGAGTCCCTCCTCACCAGCCTTTTCCAACAACTCAATATTCAGGCTTAGCGTTAAACTTAACAACGGCCACAGTGAGGTTGTCCCATGTCTGAACCAAACAACGAACGTCCACGCCGCTCCACACGTGCGCCTCCGAAAGCGCCTGTGAATGTGGCTCCCGAGCCAAGTGCCTCTGGTAAGCGGAAAACGCAAGATGGCGACAAACACTCTGCGGAACAGCTCGAAATACTTCTGACGAGCTCAAAAAGTCACCTCACTAAGATGAATATCTCAGTATGTAAATAAATGATGAACGTAATATCGCATCTACCCTCGCCTTACTGATATGCTCCCCGCAGGATGTCTTGAACTGCGAGAATTTCTTGAACCTGTCGCAAGAGTCCAAAGAGTTTCTTGTATCATTACTTCCTCCAACAGCGTTCAATACTTTTCGCCCATCTCTGCCCTCCACGCACGTTGACTACAGCATAACGAACGATAATGTTCCAAACATTGATCAAGATGACGCAATGGATGTCGACTCTGCGCATGAAGCAGCTTTTGCTGCCTCCACATCCACTTCGCAGAGTACACATCAAAACAGAACACCTGCCTTTCTAGACCCGGCTATATTTACATCACCATTCTTCTCGTCCGCCGCGCAGACATACCAAGATCACCTCTTCTCAGGTTGGTTCGCGGCAAAGGCGCAGGATACTATCAAACTGTTCGAGGAAGGCATCCGCCTTGGGACCATGCATGCGGAATGGAAAGACGAAGAGTGGGAACGGGAACATACTGAAAAGGGGCAGCGGTTGGTCATTATCCTTGTTCGTACATCACCGAAAAGTCACGATACAACATTCTATAGTCAGATAGATCTGACAGCGCTCGCAATATACGGGTACCTCCAAGAGCACGATATCCTTTCTTACAGACGTGAATTCCCGCGTTTACACATCACAGTTCAAAAGGATGTCCTCGTGAGGCTTCAGCGGAGTTGATTTGGGGAACAAAGCTCATTCACTGCAGGTCGAATCCCTCCATCCTCGCAGCCGAACTCTGGCTGTCCTTATCCCTCCGAGCACTACGTGCAGCCTCAAGCCGAGCCTGTTGGTGACTGATCGCGCTGACCCAGAACCAGAGGACCATATCCAGGCGATGGAAGATATTGCTGACCCAGAAGTTCTCGAAGTAGGCATCCTGGACATCGACGGACGCGTCACTCGGGCGGACAGGATTTCTGCACTGCCACACAGTCCTTGGAAGTCTTTCACCGTCTGGAGATGGCGAGACGATATGCGCAATGATCTAGCATCTCAAATATTGCTGGATAGGGGAGGGAGAGAGAGATATGGGACATTGTCATATCTGAGAGCATACTGCCGCGACGGAAATTGATTTGTTCGCATTATTAAGAAGTCCGTCCACTCAGAGTGCTGGACATGCTTATCGCGATTGAGAGATAATTCTCCAAGGACATCTGTCTGCATAACAGTCTACTCATGATGAAACAAATCATCAGTGCGATGAATGCATTGCTCTTCGCTCGACGTGTCTTACTTAGATCAATCGCGATCCCGTGATCGCGTCCTCTGATAGTAGCCGTGGGAAACTGAATTTTCGTGACTCCCCATCACTTCTCATCGCTAAGCCGAAGATGAACGGATGCGACTCTTGCATCGATTCATCCAACTCAGTGCTTGCTCCCATTCATCCTCCTGGTCAACAAGAACAGTGCTGCTTGCTCGGATAGGCCTCCGGAACATGTCACAAACTCCCTCTGCATCGGACACTCCCTCCGTGTCGGCGACTCCTTCTGTTTCTGGGACTTCAACCCCCAATAATGGCGGGACGGGCACCCCATCAAAAAGCGCGGGTACGTTGACATTTTGGTAGCATACAGTCCATGCCATATATCGACTTTCACAGCGAAGAAGGAAGCCAAACGCTTGGAGAAGGAGGCTAAGCTTGCAGCCAAGGTGGCGAAGGTAGCGGCAGCTTCCCCCGCAGGCGAGAAGAAGGCAAAGGCAGAGAAGGAGAAGAAGCCAGAGGAAGCACCCTTTGTTAACACCACACCAAAAGGAGCGAAGAAGGGTGAGCATTGCGGGGAAGAGACGACCGTCTGAAAGTTGACGAGGAAACCAGATCTCTCGCAGCCGATGGCAAGTGGGTACAACCCGATTGCCGTAGAATCTGCTTGGTACGAGTGGTGGGACGCACAAAGATTCTTCTCGCCCCAGTTGACCCCAGAAGGGCAGATCAAGCCCGAAGGATTGTTTGTGATTCCTGCACCACCTCCGAATGTCACCGGGAGCCTTCACATAGGACATGCCCTAACTGTTGCCATCCAAGATACTCTCATACGATGGTAAGTTCGGATGATTCGGAGTGATTGATGTATCGATTCACACCGTCATAGGAATCGTATGCTGGGCAAAACCACGCTGTTTGTACCAGGGTTCGATCATGCGGGTATCTCAACCCAATCCGTAGTTGAGAAGAGGTTGTACAAGTCCTCCGGCAGGACGCGGCATGACCTTGGTCGCGAAAAGTTTCTGGAGACCGTTTGGGAGTGGAAAAATGAGTCAGTGAACACCTGCACGTCAGATGTGTGTGACTGATTGCGTTGTAGCTACCAGAAGAAGATCGCCAATCAAATGCGCCGTCTTGGAGGAAGTTACGACTGGACGCGCGTTGCATTCACTATGGATGAGGTATGTGGTACGTTCTCCTGCTAAAGACAGTATATAACGCAGTGTATCTGGCAGCGCTTGTCAAAAGCTGTAATCGAGACATTCTGCCGCCTGCACGAAGATGGGATTCTCTACCGTGCAAACCGTTTGGTAAACTGGTGTGTGAAGTTGAACACCACGCTATCGAACCTCGAGGTATGTTTCACGAGGAACATGTACTCGTCGGCACTGCTGTAAACATCGCGCTCTCGTGAAGGTCGAGCAGAAGCAACTCACAGGAAGGACATTGATGAACGTTCCGGGCTACGATCCGAAGGAGAAGTTCGAGTTTGGCGTCATTACCTCTTTCGCCTACCCGATCGAGGGTTCTGGTGGGTGTTTTTCATTCATTCAAGCTCGTTGTTCCAATGTCTCAAACGTACGTAGACGAGAAGATCATTATTGCCACGACTCGTCCCGAGACCATGTTAGGCGATACTGCTATCGCTGTCCACCCTGATGATGCTCGTTACAAGGTCTGGATCTCATAGCTCTCCGCCGAATGCCCAACTCGCTGAATATCAGCAACAGCATCTGCATGGCAAATTTGTCATCCACCCTTTCCTCGACAGACGCCTCCCCATCATCACGGACTCGATTATCGTCGACATGGAGTTCGGGACCGGTGCTGTCAAGATAACCCCGGCACATGACCCGAACGATTATGAGGTCGGAGTGCGGCATAACCTGTCATTCATCAACATCCTGAATGATGATGGCACTCTCAATGCTAATGCCGGCAAGAAGTTCAAGGTATGTTAAAGATGCCAACATATGCGCTGGATGTCGTCCCTGACACCTTTGCATGGTAGGGCATGAAAAGGTTTCATGCCCGCGTGGCTGTCGTCAGTGCACTGAAGGAGGCCGGTCTGTATGTCGAAACGAAGGATAACCCCATGCAGATCCCCATCTGCAGGTATGCTCAGCATTATTCGGCACCATCACTGACCGACTGACACTATCACAGCAAATCGGGCGACGTCATCGAACCTGTCCTCAAGCCGCAGTGGTGGGTCAGCTGCAAACCGCTCGCTGAGGAGGCGCTCAAAGTAAACCGAGTCTTCCGGAGAGCGTGCCGTCTATGACTAATGCTATGCATCGTAGCGTACTCGGGCAGGCGAATTGTACATCTCGCCGAAGGCATCGGAGACGGAGTGGTACCGCTGGCTGGAAGGCATTCAGGATTGGTGTGTTTCTCGTCAGTTGTGGTGGGGTCATCGGTGTCCCGCGTACTTTGTGCGGATCGAGGGCCAGGATCAGGATGTCAGTGTGTCTCATCTATCATAGGTATGACGTTGAATGTTGCAACTAACTATCCCTCAAGAGTACCGACGGCAAGCATTGGGTCGTCGGTCGCAATCTTGCTGAGGCGACCGAGCGTGCGAAGAAATTGGCCAATGGCGCGAAGTTCACACTTGAGCAGGACGAGGACGTCCTTGACACCTGGTTCTCGTCTGGACTCTGGCCGTTCTCTATCATGGGCTGGCCAGAACAGGTGCGCGCATCCGCTGTTACCGTAAACAGCTTCATCATACAGCTCATTCTGCGCATAGACTCTCGATCTAAAGATGTTCTACCCGGCATCGATGCTCGAGACGGGCTGGGACATCCTCTTCTTCTGGGTCGCGCGCATGGTGCTTCTCGGTGTCCATCTGACGGGCAAGATGCCGTTCAAGGAGGTCCTGTGTCACGCCATGATTCGCGATGCGCACGGACGCAAGATGAGCAAGTCGCTTGGGAATGTGATCGACCCGATCGACGTTATTCAGGGACTGTCTCTCGAGGACCTGCATCAGAAGCTGTATGAGGGCAACCTGGACGACCGCGAGATCGCGAAAGCGAAGGTCGGCCAGAAGAAGGATTTCCCGAAAGGAATTCCTCAGTGTGGTACCGACGCACTGCGTTTCGCCTTGTGTGCTTACTCCGGCGGAGGTTAGTGACTCCATTGATTATTGACTGTATTTTAGGTATTTCATAATGCTCACTGAGTCCAACCGTAGGCAGGGATATCAACTTGGAGATCCTGCGCGTCGAGGGTTATCGCAAGTTCTGCAACAAAATCTTCAACGCTACCAAGTTTGCTATGCTCAAGCTTGACGAGGAGTTTGTCCCTGCGCCTGCTGCCAAGCCGACAGGCAAAGAGAGCCTCGTGGAGCACTGGATCATGCACAAGCTCAACATCGCCGCGTGCGAGATCAACCGACAGTTGCAGGAGCGCAACTTCATGGCCGCTACGACTGCAGCTTACAATTTCTGGTTGTACGAGTTGTGCGATGTTTACATTGTATGTTCTGACTCTGGGTTGGTTTTGGATGTCATTTCTGAATCAGTATTGTAGGAAGCCATGAAGCCCATGACCGACGGATCGGCATCGGCGGAGACAAAACGATCGGCACAGCAGACATTGTATACCTGTTTGGACCATGGTTTGCGCTTGCTCCATCCGTTCATGCCGTTTGTCACGGAAGAACTCTGGCAGCGTCTGCCACGCAGGCCGAATGACTCCACGCCGTCGATCATGGTCGCAAAATTCCCAACCTTTGTGAGTACTTATCGCTATCTTGAGTTCTTGTTGATATGTGTGACAATGAGTCCCACATAGGACGAGGCGCTTGTGTTTCAAAATGCTGAGAGAGAGTTTGACCTCGTATTCGCCGCGATCAAGACTGGACGCTCACTCGCAGCGTCATACAACCTCCAAACCGACATACAACGTACGTACTCCGTATGCCGTCCTATCTCCGCCCCTCTCACGCGCTCCGTGCTAGTGTTCGTGCGCGCTCAGTCCGGCAACGAAGCCGCGCTCTTCGAGAGCCAGGTACCGACAATGACCGCTCTGACGAAGAATTGCAAATTTGTCAAGGTTGTACGCGAACTGGAGGACGTGCCCGCTGGGTGCGGGTCTGCCGTCATCTCGCCTACTGTCGTTATGCACATCCTCGTGCGGGTATGTATTTTGCGTTGTGACGTCCAAGGCGTGGCTGATGCAAGCGCGTGCACAGGGGCAGGTGGACATCGACGTCGAGATTATGAAGTGCAACAAGAAGCTCGGTTTGGCGCGCATGAACCTCGAGAAGGTGAGGAAGGTGGAGGCGCAGTCCGGCTATGCGGATACCGTGCCCGAGGATGTGCGCCTTGTCAACGAGGATAAAGTGAGGCGTCGTCTTGTTCCGATTATTCGTCGGATGGATTAGGTTCTGACCTGAATGTTACAGCGGAAAACGGTTGAGGCTGACGTTGCGAATTTGGAACTGTCAATTGAGATGTTCGAGAAGCTGAAGTAAGTTACGTGCGTTCAACCCACATAGAGGAATCTGTACCCAATATATAGTCATATATCGCTCGTCACAACGCACATCTGTAATCAATATGGCGGCTGTGGATGCGCTCCTAGGGGAAGCACCGTCAAATCTTCTCGGAGTTTGGGAAGCGCTCTATCGACGCAACGAGAACATGGCATGTCTGCCGTTATGACGTTCGGGGTATACTGAATAGATCATAAGCTCTACAGTACTGACTAAATGTACACATATCAACGCGACAGGCGTCAAGGGGTCTCAACCAACTGGGCAGACCCAATATGTAAGCAATCTACTTTGGGGTTAGCACCCAACCGACCCAACCAGCAGGCTCAGCGTCAAACGAGCGAGGTCAGAAGTACCACTTGGAACCGAGGCGTATTGGCGACTTTGGCCGTTGAGGGATAACGGTCTCCGTGATGTTGAACACCTCAATTGCACGCTGCGGTCGATGATCGTTACCCAGTAGCAAACTGCCTTGACGAAAAACTTACCCGCCACGTCGCCATATCAAACTCCATGACCAGCTGCCGCTTCTTCAAGCCTTGAGCATAGTCATCTTCTGAGGGCTGGTCACAGAAGTCTGCGGATAGGATGAAATAATGTTGAATATTCAGCACTACGGGGGTCTTTGATAGGGTGCTCACAGATCATGGGCTCGCCCTCTTCAGCCTCCAGCGCACATTTCCCATCCCTGATGAGAAATGAGAGGTAGAACAGGTTTTCCACTGACTGGCCAAAGTCATTTGGATTGACAATGAATTTGAAGAGGTTGATTGGACCTGGCTGATTCGATAGTATTTTCTCCAGCTGTGATTGCGTTGAGCAAACGTTAGCAAGTGAACAGCAAGAATGCATACTGTGGCGACGTTCTTCGTTGTCTCGTTCTCCGACCGCGTAACGTCATCTTCTGTGAGTTGCTGCGGCTTCTTCTCGTCCCGCTTGTCCTTCTCGAGTTTCGCGCGCTTGACGACTGCCCGTTTCTTCTGCTCAATAGAGAGCGGTCCTAGCCTGATGAAAATATTATGTCGCATGCTCCTCATGAAACATGCCACGCACATGAAGTCCATGGCTGCAACGCGATGGCTATGTGCCAGCGCGCGACGGCCGACACGCTCCCAGTCTAGTGGCCCACCGCTGTACTCGTCGTCTTCCGCCTCACTTTCCGAATCTTCTGGTAGAGCAGCTTCCGCCTTTCTGCCACCCATGAACGTGATGAGCCGCCCGACGAAGTCGTCCACATCGAATGCCCCTGCGCCCGATTTCATCGCCCGGGCGCGCCGCACTCCCGCCTGTGTGGCTTGTAGAAGAAGCGACGAGTCGAGAATGGCCTCCGCCGTGCCCTTGACTGCGGTCGCGCTCAATCTAACGCACACGTCCGCGCACTGTGAAGAACGTTACCCTGATCGAAAAGCTCGTCTGCGCGCGTCACGTTTGCGACAATTTGCTCCAGTTCGGGACCATTAGGATTGGTCTGAGAGTCTGACATCCGCTGAGTAGAAGAGGGTATAATGAAATAGAGGTCGGCTTACCTTCCGATGCTTTCTGCAGTTCGCGATACTGACGGCGGAGACCGCGTTTCTCCTCAGGATTCTGATCGGGATCATATGCCATTCCATTGGCCATGTCCAGTGAGTGTCGTGGCATAGTTTAATCCTGCTTAGCTTCGAGCCGGCTCAAAAATGCGAGGAGCACTTGGATGTAGAGGCGCAGGATCAAAAGGATTAATATTGGTCGCGGTTGTGGCTGGGAAATCGCTGGTAGTCACGTTCATGTGATCTAATGTCACGCGTTCTACCGTCACGTTCTATTAGGTCACCCAGCCACATTCCTCCGACAGTTCTGGTAAGTAGTAGGCGTCGAAAACAATACACAGGCCATGATTGGCGGGACCTTTTAGCATGATCATATTGCCAGGAACCCTTGGACAGCGAGGCGGTCAGGATCTTCAATTCACCGAAACTATAGACTGCGCAATCATCGTATCCTCATCACCAAACGGCCTTAAAGACTCTTCCTCTTGTCTATGCGCATGATGCGACCGTGGAACCAAGGAACTCTTTCCATTAGAGATGGATACGTGAAGATATAACTTGCAATCTGGATCCGGAAGGCATTCTCTCGCTTCTCCGTAAGATGGGCACTGACTAGCGGCCAAGAAATATTGCAATGAAGGAAATTCAGCACAATCCATTCATATCTTCCACCGTGCTCCTTGGATGTGCATCAAGTCATTAATAGTCATCATCGTCCGAGTACGAGTATGAGTCGTCGGAGTAGGGTTTCTGACGTTGTGCGGTCCTTCCGGACCTTTTGGCATCGTAGTCTCTTCGGAAATTTTCGTCAGACAGCACGGAATATGCCTCGCCAATTAGCTTGAATTTCTCGGCTATCCCTCCCTGTAACGCAGCTCTCATGAATGCTTGTGATGAGAAGATAGCAGGGATTTTCAATGACCTTGTCGGGATGGTGCTTGCGGGACTGGACAAGATAGGCCTTGCGGATCTCGGATAGAGTGCACCCTCGCGAAATACCTGCACATGTGTTGTGATCATCAGCCGATAGATTTGCAGCAGCTTGTCATGCTGTCATCTATGTAAATATCACGCACCAAGAATTGTATAGTAATCCTTCTCTTTCTTGCGTTCTCTTGCCGCTATCGTCTCAGTTTTCTCCAGCTCAGCTCTAAACTCGTCCAGGTCCTTCACATTGGATGCAGCAGCATGCTGTAGAACTGCCCTAAAGTCCTCACAAGCCAAGTCGTACAGCTCGAAAGCGGCGTGAATGCGAGCACGAGTGAGGAAAGCGGACCATAGTGTTGAATTCAGCTTCAGTGCATCCTCAACGTCCTTGAGGCTTTTCTCGAACTCTTTCAACTTCGCGACTCGATATTCAGCACAACCTATCGGCTCATTGGCTTTGAAGACTTACTTGCAATTTGGCGGCAGCTCTACTGCTCAGGAGGATCGATCGAAGCAACCCTCCTCGGCCCTCGTTTTCGTTCTCATATACTGACTGAAAACAAGACTCTAAGATGGGATATATGTAGAGATAGGTGGACCAACCTCAAGTGCAGTGTCCCACCTGGCAATCGCGTCTTTCCATTCACCATCCTTGTACAGAGTATCTCCTTCCTCCTTCAAGCGCGCAACTGTCTTGATGCGAGAGCGTATCGTCTTGGCAGTTTCATTATCGGGATCAGTCTTGAGAACAGTGATGATTTGCTCAAGAGCTTGCGGCAGCTTTCCAGTCCAAAACAAGACCAAAGCGCGGATGATCATAGCTTCCGTAGACTTGGTTTCCCTTTGTAAGAGAAGGCTATAGGACGTATGAGAAGTGCGGGCCGCTCAAGAGACACACTGAAATAACATACTCTATCGCTCGCAAAGCGCCTTCCCAGTCGCTTTCCGCGACGCGCAGCTCGATTCCCCAACAGCGTATCTCCACTGGTGAGGGACAATCCTGTGCCTCATATATATCTAGACAGGACTCGTACGCCGCCCGCGCCGTCCTCCAGTGATTCCGCTTTCGAGCGCCATGGTAGTCGTCGATGTGACCCTCTAGCATGAGGAGGCACTTGCGCAGAGCCTTGGCCTGTAGATTGTCTCGTTGGAGTTCTAGCGCTGCGCGAACGGCGAGAAGCGCGGACGAGCGAGAGCCGAGGTGGAAACGACAGCGAGCCATGCAGATGTATACCTCGACCATGGATACATCTTCGTGCGCTGGCATTGAGGATGCGTGCTGGAAGTCACTAATTGCTGCCGCATGGTTCTTCAAGCTGGCATGTGCCAACCCACGTCTGGCATAACACATGGACAACTTGGGGTTCAGCGCTGCACAATTGACAAGAGTCAGCAACGGAATCGGTCATCACAACTAGCCAATTTCCGTACCGATTGCCTCCGTCAGGAGCTGCACCACGGTCTCGTGGTCACCAAGAGATGATGCAAGGGCGGCCTCCCTGTAAAGCTCCGTGACATTTGGGACATTGCCCTTTGATTCCTGTCTGCAACGACGGGCAGGAGTCCGACTGAGTGAATGAACATCGAATAGCTCAGCTGTCGAGACGTACTCTGGTCCGCCAGTAGAAGACTGGTTATCTTCATGTGTTCTGTTGTCTTTAGGTGTCTCGGTTTCAAATGTCTCCTTCGTATGATCGGGTTTGGTTCCGGACTTCGTCAGAGGGCAATGCCTATAGTGGGAGGTACCACAGCAGCACCAGTTCAGACCTATTTAGTATTTGTACTTGAAAATAAATAAAGACATACGTTTCGATGTGGCTCTCGCTGCCGCATCGATAACAGATTCCTGTGGGATGTTCAATGAGATAGGCACTTTCACTTTCCACGTTTGCGATTGAGCTCGCCTTTACGAGGATTTGGACTCGCACAGGTTCTCGCTACATGACCGGTTTCACCACATTTCTGAAACATAGCATGATTATGTTTCAGTATTCTGGTATGCAAGGCGACTGCTCACAAAGCAGATAGCGTGAGGGCATGCCGAAAAGAGATGGCCCACTTCTCCGCAGTTGCGACAGATCCTCTTCAAGTAGTCGCACGGCTTCGGGCACCTTTCTTGAAGATGCCCACTTTCATGACAGTTTGAACAGAACCATTTCTGCAGAAAGGATGAGAGGGTGAAAAGATTTTGAAGCATCGCCCCACCTCAGTTTTTGTACAGAAGTCGACCGTGTGACCGACTTCGTGGCAGCAACGACACTCCATCTTCGAGTATCCCCTCGGTTTCAAGCATTCCCAGTGCCCGTGTCCACGCTCTAAACAGTTTTTGCACGTCCATTCCTGCGATAACAAGGAAATAATCAACTCTCAACTAGATTGTGGGATCGTGAGGCACTCACTACGCGTGTCGGGCACTTCGCAGAAAGGTGCCCTTTCTCGCCGCATCCCCCACATTTTCTACCGCGAGGCTTGGGACAGGCCGAGCGTGCATGGCCTTCTTCCTGACAATTGAAGCAGACGCGTCCGCTAAGCCGGCAGGCCTTGGTGGAGTGATCCTCTATGGCGCATCTTGTGAGTTACGGGTGAACCATGCAATATAACTCATTGGAGTACATTCATACCTGCTCCGCATCTGTAGCAATGCATAGTAATGAGTCTATAAGCACGACAGGAAGTCTGGCAGTGACAATTGCTCCGGAATCAAAGCGGAAGATACGAGTGGACAACATGCCACAGTCCTGCAGAATAAACTTCATGTCCAGCAACGCATCAGAACCCAAACTGGGAATGCACATGCTTCCGCCGGTATGCTATTCCTGACGCTCAGGCCCCCTCACTGCAGAAATTGTTTTAGAAATAGAGTCTGACGAGCAGCCTGTGGCGTCAGAAGTTAGGTTCGTACTAACAGGCTGCCTATGCTCAATGCTCATGTTGATTCCGAAAGCTTGAAGATCTCATTCGTGTTATTCCTCCAAGTGATACAGGTGGCCTAGATCTCCTCAATAGTCAATTGATCAGTCGAAGGAAGCAAATGACGGGTGACTCCGATAACGCAGATCACATGAAGACAGACTCCGGGTTCACCAGTGTTTTGTATAAACCGAGATATGATCCTTTCTCGTAGACTCACTGATGGACAAGAAGACTCCCTTTTCCAAATGGAAGAGGCTTACCACTTGACTATGCCAATGCCCTTTCTCCGAGCGTCCCACGTCAACGGCTCGTAAGGAAACGGTCGACATCCTCGGACCTGGTTCTGAGACTGTGATGATTTTCTTTTCGAGAACGCACCGCCTTTTCAGGCAAACTATAGAGCGGGACGGCTCACAGAACATCACTTGGAGCATTGCACCATACATTCCCCCAGCGATCCACTGCGCTCCCTGTAGATCCACCACCCACCTCACCTTCCTCACCGCTATCAATATAGCCCACGCCATAGCTCATCGCAGCCGTGTACTGCGGTTTCGGGCATTGGAACCCGAGAAACGGCGGACATGCGCGATCCGCAGCGTTGCACACCTCGAGGCACGGCAGTACCGCGGTATAATTTTGCGGAAAGCTCGGTAGGTACGGGCTCCGCGGGTTTGCCGCATCCTGCATTTGCAGCGCGGGACTCGGCGTCACAGTCGAAGAGACAGACGTCGAGGAGGTGGCGTTGGCATCCTCGGCGCAGCGCGGGAGCGAGACAAAGCAGAGCCAGGTGCGATATGCTGCTTGGCAGTCGGCGCAGGTGACGAGCGGGCTGTAGAGGTCGCGCCCGCACGCGAGCGTGGTGAGCATGACGGTGAAGTTCGCATACCCGCTGAGGAGGTTGTCGGTGACGGAGGAAGGGAGCTGGGAGGCGGTGACGCCGTTGGGAGCATTGGCGACATCTATCGGCGCTGCGTATGACACTGTCGGGCAGAATGGCAGGGAGTGCACGATTTGGCAGGCAAATGCGTCTTCACCGGGATGAGCGAGTGGTCATTGAAATTATTGAAGGGTAAAGAACGCACCGGACTTGGTGGAAAAATATATCGGCCCGCTTACTTTCGTCCCGTTTTCGACGGCATACATCGTATAGTTTGTTTGAGCATTTAATCCGTTCATGAACCACTGCCACCGCCAGCCGTCAATATCGCGCAGCCAGAGGCCTTCGCTGTCAGCATACGTCCTGTAAGTACCGACGTTGCCCGGTACATCTTTCAGAGCGCAGCCCGTGCGCGGCAGTGTGGCGAATGCTGGCAACTTGGTCTCTGCGATGAAAATGGAGTACTCGACGGGGGATGATGGCGAGTCGGGCTGAGTGAGATTGGCTGAGGGGAGAGTATAGTTTGGGTATGTTGGTATAGTGAAGTCGGGCGGGGAGAATGGAGGGGAGAAAATGAGGACTTGGTTTGATGTGCTATCGCCGAACAGCGGTAGAGAATCCAGTATTTCGTGTATAGGCCCTGTTGTGAGATGTCAACCTCTCATCCAGTATTCTGCTTGCGGGATCAGAGGAATAGAATATGCGAACGCGTTATGACCAGTACATTTACTCACCACTGTCAGAAACTCCGACCTCAAAGGGTGTTTGTGTAGCATTGTAGACTGCCAGCAGCCCGTGAGATGACATGATCCCCGTCCAATTGCCGATCCCCTCGTCACCCAGCTCAATCTGGTAGATATTCGGCTGTCCTACGTTGTCCGGAGATGGGATGACAGAAGAGTCGTTGGAGAGGTAGAAGCGCGGCCCATTGGAGGTATCGTATGAACACAGCGCGACTGTAATCGTCAGGTTACTCGATTCCGGCAGTGTGTACGTGGATGGATTACTCGTCGTTGCGGAGAAGTTATAGAGTTGGTTTAGAGATAAAGTCTGAGACTGCGCAAGAACCAGCCATGCATGAATGAAGCATAAGAGAATACAAGTCAAACGCATGGTGGCGTCGAGAGCTGTGGCTTCGAAGCGAAGCGCCCAAGACCACCTCACGACACGACCCACGTGACAGTCGCGTCGCGACTTAAATCGGTCCTGCCTTCCTTGATTTGTGGATAATCTGGCTTTCGGATGTCGTTCATCGCCAGCTTTGCATCTATATGCGCGCGTTTTCTCATTGCCCGGACTAGGAAGACTGACTGGTCTACGTGCTGCCCTCAGTGAACATGGTTTGATAGTCGGAACTGGTGTTTTCCGGATGCCATGCGGATTTAGGTCGGGTATGCTGAAGACATTGGCCTATCTCCGGGAAATTGGTAAATGGACTCCGCGAATCACCCAGGAACAGGAGACAACAAGATCTTGCGACATCTACAAGCCAGGATTGTGATATACCACTACATAGTGAATATAGCACAGTCCAACTCGCAGGTGGACGTTCGGATTATCTCACCGGTACCTCTAGGTGACAATTCAAACAGCTTTGAAAGCTTACATATGCAAACGAAAGCTGCGATTGCTCAGATGCGTTGTCAACGTGCATCGCACCTATCTATGCGCATCCCCTCACTTCCTCACCTGTTGGTTCACTGAACCTCAGGCATCTAACATTTCTGCCGATGTCAAGTGTTGTACCCGACAACTGCTGAGCACTTCGGCCCCTCAGGAATGATGCACTCTCAAAATACCAGCACTCATCAATTGCTCCGCCATCAACAGCATCAGGACGGAAAAACTGTTACTGATCGTGCGTCTTCGTCTCATCGGCATACTATTCGTGCATCGACCAACAATAGAGCCTACAGCGAGGGCAAACGCTTGCCTTACGGCTGACTTGATGGACTCCGCCGCTAAGACATTGGCGCCAGCCACAGCGCCGCGGCTGGCGACATGTGACGGTACGCGTCGCGTCGTGCATGTCACGCTCGGTCGCGCCGAGGCCCCATCGCACATCGCATCACTGCAGTGTCCCCGCGACGTCTTGATCCGCGCGCGTAAGTCGTGCAAACCCCGAACTGTCGGTCTTGGTGCCAGGCAGGCCAAGTTACGGTATGTGCTCAGCTTTGGACGACTTGCATCATTGGACAGCTGATCGCGGACGTGGCATGACCACTCCGGTCGGATCATACTCATTCGCGCTCACTCCGTTCAGGCGCTCCATTCACGACCATGACGGTGCACACCTCATCGCGTACGATGTCTTTCCTCCGACGCTCCCCCTTTTGTCTCCTGCGTCGCTCCTCGACGCGACAGTACCACGTCACCGAGCCGACAGCCGCGAAGCTAACGATTGGCATCCGTAGAGAGGACCCGGCGCGAATATGGGAGCGGAGGTGTCCTCTGACGCCGCACGCTGTGCATGAGCTCATTGAGAGGGATGGCGTGGACGTCCTGGTAGAGGACTGCGATAGGAGAGTGTGGACAGGGAAGGAGTTTGCGAAAGTGCGTTACGCTGCGATAACTTTCAGACTCATTCTGACACGAACGCGTAGGCGGGCGCGAGCGTGGTTGAGAATCTCGCACCTGCACACATCATACTGGGAATCAAGGAGACGCCTCTGTCGGAAATACTGAACGATCCTGCACCTCCTCTCTCTGATGCGGGGCGATTAGTGCCACGTACGCATCTTATGTTCTCGCATACCATCAAGGGACAGCACTACAACATGGAGCTGCTCTCCAAATTTGTGAGTTCGTCACACACCCCAGGAGGGACTATTACGGACAAGCCAGCGCTGTTGCCGCGTCTCATGGACTATGAACTGCTCACGGGCGAGGATGGGAAGCGGACGGTCGGGTTCGGCTGGTTCGCAGGAGGTGAGTAGCGTCGATGTTCCGAGAACTCGTACACCATGATGACGCGTTGTAGTCGCCGGAGCACTCGAGTCGATGAACGCGCTAGCCCATGCACATCTGGAGCTGGGTGTGGCCAGTCCATTCCTGGTGGGTTCCTCGCACCTTCGTACTCGTACAGGTGCTCACGTCCCACACGGCTACAGTACACGCCGCGCCCACATTCACACCCGAGTTTGGCTTCCATTCGGGCTTTCTTGAAAGAGGAGGTCGGCGCGCGCATCGCGTCCGAAGGCACGCCCAAGTGCTTGGGGCCGATTGTCTTTGGCGTGACTGGGTATGTGTTCTCCCCGAGGCGTTGTGGCTGCTGATGGATGTAGACACACCATAGTGCTGGGAAGGTTGCCGAGGGCGTGCTAGAGCTTCTCAGCGACTTGCCCCATGTGAAAGTCTCTGTGAAGGACCTGCCGGCGCTGGTTAGCGACCCAAGTGTGTATTCCTCTACGCCTGTGTCTTATAAAGGCTGACGGAGCTGCAGACACTGACTTGCGGAAGGTACGAGACTCGCAGAGCTGTGTATACGCGACATGCATGGTGATGTTTTGTGTCGAAGGTCTACGTGGTCCACGCACGCCCATCAGATTATTTCGTCCGGAAGGATGGTAAGCCGTACGAGCGTTCGGACTATTATGCGAACCCGCAAGAATACGAGTCCGAATTCCATACGAAGGCGAGTCTCCGTCATCTACCAAGTAGGTGCGCACGGGCTTGATGGATTTGCAGATCGCGCCGTACCTCTCTCTCCTCCTGCATGGCGCAGGCTGGTCACCGGCCTACCCGCGCGTGATGACGAACGCGCAGCTGGAGATCGCACTCGAGCGCGCACAGCAAGTCGGCCGGGGGCGTTTCGCATGCGTCGGGGACATCAGCTGCGACATCGAGGTGGGCTTTCATTTTCCTTCATTCAGCTTGCATCTCAAACTTAACGGCCGCACCAGGGTGGCCTGGAGTTCCTCCCACGCCACTCGACGCTCTCCGCGCCGTTCTTCACGACGGGCCCGCCGCACTTCCCGCCGGTGACGATGATGGCGGTGGACATCCTGCCCACGGCGCTCCCGCTCGAGGCGTCGAAGCACTTCTCGAAGGTGCTGCTGCCGTACCTGCGCACGCTCATTGGGGAGTACCGTGGTGATGCGGGAGAGCGGGAGAGAGCGGAGGCACTGAGGCGGGCGACGGTGGCGAAGAGCGGGCGGCTCGTGGGGGAGTGTGCATGGTTGGATAAACCGCTAGAGATTTGGCATCATAAGCGGGCTGCTGCTGCTTTGAGTGGAGAAGCCGCTGCTGTTATCCCACCGGCGTCTGCAGCTGCGAAGCGTCATCATACTCCGCGAGAGCCGAGGAAGAAGGTTTTGATGCTTGGGAGCGGTATGGTGGCCGGTCCGGCGATCGAAGAGCTGTGCAAGCGGAGTGACGTGGAGCTGCTTGTTGGTCAGTGTTTCTCTCGCAGAGTCAAAGGTCCTCTCTGAGGTACTGATGTGGTGCTAGCCAGTAATTCTATTCTGGAAGCAGAGCGGCAGACGGAGATTTACCTTAATGCGACCGCTGCGCAGGTGGATATGGGTGATCCCGAGAGCGTGGCTAGGTTGGTCGCGGAGGCGGATGTGGTCATCAGGTTCGTTGATAGGTCGAGATTATATTGGCCGGGAGTTTGACGACGGTACAGTTTGCTCCCAGTCCCATTCCACCCATCTGTCGCGCAGCTCTGTATCAAGCACCGAAAGCACCTCGTCACCGCGTCGTATATCTCTCCTGCCATGCGCGCCCTGCACGATGAGTACGTGCATTTCTCTCCCTCGTATCCCGATGCGCATATGCTGACCGCCATGCAGGGCTGTTGGCGCGGACGTGCTGCTTTTGAACGAGATCGGGTTGGATCCGGGGATCGATCACTGCTCCGCTTTGGCGCTGGTCGACTCGCTGAAGCGGCAGGGCAAGGAGGTCATCTCGTTCACGTCATTCTGCGGGGGCCTGCCTGCGCCCGAATGCGCGGAGGACGTGCCGCTCGGGTACAAATTCAGCTGGAATCCGCGTGGGGTGCTCACCGCTGCACTCAATGAGGCGACGTTCAGGCTGGAAAACCAGGTTCGTTGTGATATCGTGATCTGGAGGAGGTTGAGGCTGATGTGGCCCGAGTGGGCTGGCAGACGTATACGATCGATGGGAATGATTTGTTGACGTCGTGTGTTCCTGACGTGCCCGTGTCGAAGATCTTGCGCTTTGAGGGGCTGCCCAACCGGAATAGCCTTCCGTACGCTGGGTTTTACGGGTTGGGGTCGGAGAACCTGCGTACGATCTTCCGGGGGACTTTGCGGTACGTCTGACCATGACACTGTGTTCATGTCTTTGTGTTCTACTGTTGTTGTCCAGATACGCCGGCTTCTCGCGATTGATGGATGGGTTCAGCAAAATCGGCCTTCTCGACACGTCTGCGACGGTCGAGCTGAAAGACTGGCCGTCCCTCGCTCGCAAAGCGCTCGAAGAGCGATTAGGCACGCTGGTGATGAGCGACGACGCATCGATGACATCCGCCATCCGCGACGCCACCCAACAATCTGACATCCGCGAGCTGGTCGACGCCCTCCGGTGGTTCTCCATTCTGCCCCCACACGCATCCGAGAGCATCGCGGAGGATACTGAGGCTGCACTGGCTCGATTGCCGCCTGTTCCATCGAAGCCTATGGCGCCAATCGACTTCTTCGCTGCGCTGCTCGCGCACAAGCTCCGGTACGAGCCGGGCGAGCGCGACTTGGTCGTCCTCCAGCACGAGCTCGTCGTGCACCCGAAGGGCAGCGCGTCCACGGCGGAGGAGACGCACACGTCGTCGCTGGTCGCGTATGGCTCGCCGACGGCGTCGGCGATGTCGCGCTGCGTTGGGCTGCCTGTGGCGTTTGCGGCGCTGCAGGTGCTCGATGGCGCGGTGAAGCTGAGGGGCGTGCATGGCCCGACGGACAGGGTGGTTTATGAGAATGTTCTGGCCCGGCTGCAAGAGGTGGGGTTGGGAGTGACAGAGAGTGTGAGGAGGGGTTCGGGTGTTGTGGAGGATGTGTTGCGGAGGACTGCTGAGAGCAGTGCATTGTATGTCGAGTCTCGTGTTTCCCATGTGTAATTTACTTCTGCTTGTGTAATTGGATGTACTACGGACAATGGGTGCTATACCTAGCTTAGAATACTCAGAGCGATAGTGAGCTAAATCCGCTGCTAGCCACTTCACGAGTGGCTGCGTCACGCGCTCTGTGACATTACACGTGATCGTGACTCTAGACGGATCACAGACGATCGACGTCTCGTCACTGATCCGGCCACAGTCTCTCCTAGTCCTCGACGCCACCTCGTTGAATGAGAAAAAGTCAATAATTCCTGGAGCTGTGCAGGTCCTGCAGACATATCTCATCATTTGATCATCACTACTAATAAGATTAGGATATGAAGGCCAAGTTGTGGTCAAAGCTAATAACGCGGAACTGCGTTTCAGCGCCACCACCCACCCTCACGCATCACACCGCGATCCTGTGACACTGCCGCCATCTCTCGGACACTGCCGCATGCATTGACCGCATAACCTACTGGGTTTCACGTCGCCGCCAACAGCGCACAACCGACCACGACGAGCGGCGTTTCGGCGCCGACGCACATGCCCGTGCCGGGTGTGGGCTGCATTCCCCGCTCTGGGCGCCGGCTGGGCTGCCTCCCCGCCGTGTACGCGTGCCGGCCAATGAGGCCTCCGTCGTCTTCGCCAAGCGCGATGAAACGGGCTCTCGATGGACTACTCTATTACGCTGTGCCGACCATTTTGATATGCGATGCGTCATCTTTGCACCTCACCGCCACAGCCCAGGGCCCGACGCGGAGACACACAACGCAACGCTTGGTACCCTGCCGGGGGCGGCCAATCCGGACCCGCCCCAAGTTGCGCACAGCATAAATACCCGCACCCCCAGAAGCCGTCACTCACGACACTCTATCCACTCCACCTTCTCCACTCAAACAAAGATCTTAATACCCCCTGTTTAACGTCTAATTAACGATCATAATGTTCGCATACGCATTGTCCCTCGCCACTGCCCTCCTCGCGGGCTCCTCGCTCGCCCTCCCCACGCTGCAGTCCCGCTGGAACACCAGCGCATCCTGCGTCGGCCTCCCCGACGGCTCCACCGCCTCGCCGTCATACAACTTCACGCTCGCGGCGTACAACCTCACGCAGTCCAACGCGAACGACACCGGTGTGCCGCTCGTGCTCGCATGGGGCCCGCCAGGTACTAGCCCTGCGGCGAGTGAGTGGGTCATCTCGGTGAGTAGCACCCCTTGCTCTAGATAATGTCGGCGTGTCTCATCGATGCCTACACAGACATACGAGTCGTGGGGCTCAAATCAGTGGCCGTACTTCACGTTGACGGACGGCGGGCTCTACCCCCAGCCCAGCTCCAGCGAGAATGGCCTCGGAGCATACGACTTTGCCGTCAACGAGGGCGATGAGGTCCACTTCATCGTCACTATCGCCGAGAGCAACCCCACGGTCGCCGAGATCTACTGCGCAGCGGTGAGTAGAGCACCTCTAGCATACCTCTCATCACGCCGAATACTGATCCCGGACCCGCTCCAGGACGAATCGGAGGACTATGCTGTCCTCGCGGTGAACAACGACGCAGACAACTTCTCGCTCTGCCTCGCCGGCACGCAGAACAATCTGGTCTACGCGCCGAGCACGAACAACACACTGTACACCTATGACTCTTGCTACCCCGTGCGCGTATACCTTCTTCCCTACGAGGGCTGAAGGTGCTCAGGGAAGCACTTCACGAGCTGAAACGAGCGATGACGCATACGCCTCTTGGGTGCTTCGGACACTCGGACCCCCACTACTTTCCTGCCTTATAATCCCGCTGTAAATCGCCTTGCTTTCGTAGCATACCTATCGGTGCTGTCATAGTTGTTAATTGTACATTTGTGTAGTCGATACTGATAATTTGCTCGTTGACCGATCGCTAGTAATGTCCCTGAACATCATTCCAGTCGGGTTGACGCGACATTTCAGATAATTTGGGGAATACTCACCAACGCCAACGCCTACATAAGTGTCATCCTGCTGCCCACATCCGTCCCTTCCGGAGGAAGAGGCATCTCGCCACTCCGATCCGAGATGAACATACGGTATCTAACGAATTGAGCACATCATGATCAGTCGTAACGATCCTGCCGCGAATAGTACGCACATCCGTTCCAGCCGTACGCGTTCCTCTGGGGGAACAGATGGCCGGGTCGTCTTGAACACCCTGCGCAGGTGCTCCTCCGTGATCTCATGTTTCTAAGCGGTCACATAAGGACAACGTTCAGCACTCGCGCGAGCGGCACTCAGAGATCGAGCTCACCGGCCTGCCCACATCGCCTCCTGGTCCGCCTGGCGCAGTTTTCGCCGCGTCCGGCTTCCTCAATACCTGCTGCAACTATCACACACAATCCAATCAGCACATTCTCAAATCAACCCGACAGCGCTGCTCACCCGCTTCTGGAACGCAGACTCCTCCGCCCTTGAGAGCACGCGCGCCTGTTCTGCATCAGTCATTCCGAGGACGGTGTACTCCACAGGCTCTGAGTCGTCTTGCTCGGACGTGTGATCAGCTCCGTTCGCAGTCCCGTTGATCGCGTGCGACGAGATGGTATCGTGGATGACTTCCAGATGCGCATTGTACACGAGCGCCTGCAGGTCCGCGCCCGAGAAGCCCTCCGTGTCGCGCGCGAGGGCGTCGAGGTTGACAGAGGGCGCGATGGTCGTCTTGCGCCCAAGCGTTTCGAGGACCTGCGAATGGATATGCGTTAGGCGTGAGCATTGAGCGCAGGGAAGGGCACAGTCAGAGCGATAGGCGCACCTCCCGACGTTCTTCTGTATTCGGCATGTCGCAGAGGAGCGATTTGTCCAGACGGCCTGGACGCAGCAAGGCAGAATCTATCAAGTCGGGCCGACTGCCATCATTGCACGTAAGCGTGCTTCAGCCTGGTCATAGACGAGAGTGAGACGATACCTTGTAGCAGCGAGGACATAGACACCCTCAAGACCCTCCGCACCGTCCATCTGCGTCAACAGCTGATTAACCACGCGGTCCGTGACTCCAGTACTGTCATGACCTCTGTGAAAATCTCGACAGTCAGCGGCGCCATCCAAGCGTCAAGAGAAGAGGCACTGACCTTTTCGGTGCGATAGAGTCAAACTCGTCGAAGAACAGCACGCAAGGCTTCGCTGCGCTTGCACGCTCAAACAGATCCCGCACCGACTTCTCGCTGGCACCGATGTACTTGTTGAGCAACTCCGGGCCTTTGATGCTGATGAAGTTGAGCCCGCATTCCTTCGCGACGGCCGATGCGAGGAGCGTCTTCCCGCATCCTGGGTACCCATACAGCAATAGTCTACCATACATATTAGCAAACATGCCCCCGCATGTCTCATGATGATGGGCTTACCCAGAACGCAGGCGCAATGGAGACTGGGCGAAGATAGGCCCGTACTTGGTCGGCCACTCTAGAGTCTCACGGAGCACTCGCTTCGTTTCACGCAGTCCTGGAACACAAATGATTGAGCTGACGCCCTTGGCGGACGAGTAATGGACACGATTTACCTCCGACGTCAGCCCACTCGACTTCGGACTTCTGCAATTTGACATCACGTAACGACAACGGAACAAAGTCCACTTGCGCCGATGCGAAGTCTGCATGGAGCAGCGCAGTCTATCCTCGCAAACACTGTTCAAAAGCCAGAAGAATGTACGAAACAATCAGCCACGCACAGAAGAACTCTCGCTGTCATCCAGCCCAGTCGACCGAATAGCAGCGCGATGCACCGCCCTCGCCACGAAGTCCTTGAGATCCGTCGCCGAATATCCCTCCGTCTGCGTCGCCAGCGCCGTGAAGTTCAGTGGCGCAGAAAGGTCTTGCACGATATTCGACGTGTTCATGCGCTCCCGCACCAGCTGCGCGAGAATCTAAAACGCACTCCATCAGTTTCACGGATGAGTCCAGCCCGCGTTCACGCTCACGTCTCGTCTAGCGTCCTTCCCTGGCGGCTTGAGCGCGACGACCTCCTGGAATAGATGCGAGGAGTTGAGTGACGGATGCAACGCAGCCTGTGATTCGGCGGTGGCGAGGAGGATTACGCCGTTCGCATTGGGCGCTGCAGTGCGCGCGGAGCGTCCAAAGGTTGACAGGAACAACTCAGCGATGTGTCGGCTGCGGAAGGAATCTGCATGCTGCAGACAACGTGAGACACATTCGTGAAGACATGCACTCGTCAACGCACCTCGAGTTCTGCGCCCATCAGTTTATCGATGTTGTCCAGAATGAGCACGGATGGCCGATGCCACGCCGCCTTGTCCATCCAGTATTTGAAGTACGAGCGGATTTTGCTTATCGGTGCTTCGTAGTACTTTGCTATATCGACGTACAGTATGTCTGTGATCGACGGATTTTCAGAAGCCGTTGATCACGATGGCACGCGTACTCACAAGCTAATGTCCGGGAATCTTCCTGCATGGAGTCTGCAACGGCACGCACGAGCGACGTCTTCCCCGCACCGGAACGCCCTGTTACGATTAATCCAGGCGCTGGACGGGCGATCAATTGCTCGTCAGTGCGAATATAAAACTAGAGTGATGAGATAACGTACTCCCGCGAATCCTTCCGCTGAAGGCGTGCAGCGCAAAATGCGTGAGGCAGAATTGCGTGCATGTGGTCAGGATGTCATCAACGCCCGCTAGGCCGTGCCTGCGCTTCGTTTCTGGACTGTTCTCCATTAGCCACAAAGTGCGCATAGATACAATGTATGCTACGTACGGTTCGTTTTCAGCGTCCTCAAGCTGAAACTCTTCCGCTGAAAGCAGTACATGTTCTTTGATGAAGGATACGCTAGCGAAGGGCACATTTGATATGAGAGGAAAGCTGAGTCGCCTTGGAAACAAGCTCACCGGACGAGATCAAAGTCTTCGATGCCGTCCACATTACCTTGAAGCATAATATGCCCCTCCGGTATCGGAATTGCAGCTGACCAAGTCAAGATCACTTCGTCATCTTGAGCCACGGGTGGCTTCTCTGCCCCCTTGTCTCCGTTAGGTTTGAGTATCCGAGGTGCTGGAGGTATAGATGTAGCACTTGACGAGGAATCTTGTGAGGGATCTGCAGGCGGCGGCAAGCGCCGCAGAGTCGCTTTCCAGCTGTGTAGCTCAGACACAGCGGCAGAGTCTGTATTGAGCGCAGCTAGCGTAGCTCGAGATACGTACGCTATGACGAGATCTGGCGAAGCGTCTGAGGATGTCGGTGAAGGCACGTTCCGTCGCGGCAAGACCCGCATTGTCCGTGCTGGCCTCTTCTTCGCCTGCGGCTTGGCCTCGGACATGCCCTTGTCAGTGCTGAAACCGTCCGTCTTCCCTTTGGCGATGTGGTGCTTTGGGCGTGGGGACTCACCGTTCACCGAACGGCCGCGCCCTGCCGCCGATGACTTCGCATGAGGCTTTGGTGCTATGCTCACTTCAGTGTTTGTGGCTAACAGCGCCGCTCTTCCACGCGGCTCGAGAGACACTGCAGTCATGTCAGCATTCGTGTTGCCTTCACGGACTACTTCAATACACTGACCGACTTTCAGCCGGACTCTGGTGCGACCCATGACCCAGACATCGATCTCCTGCCCTACTACGGCGACTCTGACCTGGGAGAGAAGAGTTTCCTCCACGTGCGAAGCGTGTATTTCCTAACATGTTCAGCACAGAGTGAATGGATAGTAATGCCATCGGACGAGCAGCACTCACGATGATCTCCCAGTCATCCGAAGTTACTGGTTCTGCGGTCACAGACGTTGCAGAAGGAAGGTCATGTAAAAGAGCAATCTCCACCTTCACAACATCTCGTTATAACAAGGTCTCTAGAAGATACAACATTACTCACCACGTCTCCCAAGGCAAACCCGAGGCTCTCGGCATACTGCGGGTCGATCTCAATCGTTTCCAACCCCTTCTCACTGGACCCTCCGGACTGATAGTGGGCATAGGAAGATGCAGCGGCCATGCCAGTCCAGCCGACATAAGCCTCCACCTTGCGGCTCTCATTACCGGACGATCGTCTGCTTGACGAGACCAAAGACAAGTGCACTGCAAGGTTCTGCGGCCGCTGCAGACGAATGAGCGATGCAAGCTATGGATACAAGTACCTGTCGCAAACCTACTATCTGCCGTTCTAATAGTGGACCGTAGATAGAGACCGGAAGATGAACCAAAGACGAGCGTAGCGAGACACAGTGAATCCGGGCTCGGCGAGGCATGGTGTCGAAATATGGAGGTGAACAAGCGTGTTACAGTAGCAATCAAGCACAGCTCAGGTTGTACGTCCAGCAACGACGAGTTCATATAACATATAGCTCAAAGTCCTTGTCAGGTAGACCTCGCGGTCGAGGTGAACGTCCTCGATTACTAAATTGGGAGTAAGTACTACGAGGCTCGTGATCCGCTGGGGCTCCCGTAGGACATTGTACGGCAAACCATTTCGTTTCGCATCCTACACGACAAATGACAGAGGTACGAGCAAGGATAGATGGAACAGTGCGGCAATGGACATGCAATTTTAATCCTAGTTCTCAGGATACAAATGTGTAATGGTGTTACTTCACTGAGAATGAACGCCACCAACGGTATTGATTAATTGCCACTTTAACGTTAACGTGCGTTGAAAATCCCGTCATAGCTCGCTGAACGGTGGTATCAACACGAGTGTGCGTATATATATACAGGGAATATTGACACTGGAGATGTCCCTGCGCCACATCCCGAATCCATTCATAGCTACGCTCTAATATCAACGCCATAAACAGCTTCGTAGATCTTGTGTACCCATTGATTATATTCTCGTCGACCTTGTTTCAACTTCAAACCGTGACCTCCAATATTTCCAGAGCTCTATCTCGATCAGGTAACACGCTGCCGTCCTTCAACCACTCAAACATGCTTTGCAGAGTTTTTTCCATCGACTCCAACTGCGCCTTGGACACGCCGCCAGCGATGCTTTCCTCCAACGTCAGCTTCTCCATTCCCTCGCCCCGCAGGTCGTATATCTGCCCTGCGGCTCGCGAATTTGTCGCCACCCACTGCGAAAAAGGACGCCGGATCTGGTCGTAAACCTGCAGCGCTTGCGGGAGCGTCTCGCGCGTGACGCGAGGATGTGCGAGTACGGCGGCCAGGACGAAGCCATCCTTGTTCGGAGAGTCAGTAAAATGCGCGATATACAGGTGCGACCGCTTACCTCAATTGCTTGCCCAGCTCCCGAACCTTGGAAGGGAGTCATCGCGTGTGCCTATATACCCACGGTTGCATCGGCATGAATGCTAACCGACTATGAGTAGGATTAGAATGATACTGACCGCATCACCCAAGAGTGCAACACGATTGTCCACGTATGTGGGCAACGGCGAAAGGACATGAATCGCCCATGCAGAGACCTCGCCAATACACTAATATGAATGCAAGAAACATCATCGTCAAAGAGAAGAAAACGATAGGTTGCAAGAATCAGCGTACGTTCAACAGATCCTGCATATGGGACTCGAACATAGAGAAAGTCTCGATGAACTCCTCCTTTGCGCATTTTCGCGTCCAGGATCTGTTGTACGGTGTGCCTTCTAACGCAGGTTCAGATACGTACGCGCCGAAGTTGATCTGTTGGCCTTGCGAAATCGGATATGTGATGACAAACTAGAACGTAGTCGGACATCGCGCTAATACTGCCAAAAGATGGAAATGAGGCATACCCTGTCTTTGCCCATACACTGTGACGCATCGAAAATGTCCATGAGTACAGCAGACTAGCGGAAAGAAGGCGACCTACCATATGCGGTTTTTGTGAAAGCGGGTTACCCGGAGATGCAACTTCGAGTATGTCCTTGGGAATAAGACTACGGTACATGATCTTCCCGGTCCATACCGGCTTGGCCTTTGCCAGCAATTCGGAAGCCTTGGCGTCGTCTCCAGCTTCTTTGGCTTGTTCAGCAAGTGAACGATACAGCACATCGCGAACGGTTGATTTGATGCCATCGCAGCCAACAAGGACGTCGCAGGTCCCAGAAGAGCCGTCAGCGAATTGTAGACCTATCTCGCCGGAGTCCTTTGTGGCGTAACTCGTCAGTCGCTTGGACAAATGCAGCTTGCACGAGTCCGGAATATGTTTCTTGAGGACTTTATGAAACTGTGCTCTGTGATACGTCACAAATGGACCTGAAACGATCAAAGCGTGAGCGCACAACCGAGGCAGTGAGTGGTTAGACTTTACTTTCGGTCTCTGCCACGAAAATGCCCTGTGGCTGATCTGCCTTTCTGTATATCAAGGAATGTGCTGCGCAAAAGTCTAGAGCATCAGTTTCGTCTCGTCTTGGGCATCCATAAGTGCACGCACGAGCTATCTGCCCATCTTTCATGTGTGTGATGGACAGAAAATCATCTTCCAGTCCGAGCTCTTTCAGGATCTTCCACACTCTTGGCCACACGCCTATTCCAGCGCCGACCTCAGAAAGCACGGTAGTCGACTCGTAGATGTCCACAGACACATTAGCGAGTGACCTGTGGAGCGAGAGTGCGAAGCAGAGTCCTCCGATTCCAGCACCGCTGCGATAGAAAAGTTCAGCAGCAGTCAATCCGCTGATTCTGTCATGGCTTACACGATCGCAACCTTGAACTTGGGCTCAGCCATGTCTCTCGAGGTACTTGATCAACTTGATATAAGTCCTCATATATCATATACTGATCCTACAACTGATCGACGATGTCTGCTTCGAGCTGGCCGATGGCAACGGCCGCTGACGCGGCATTCCTGCTTGCTGAATCAATGTTGCCACGCCTGTCAGTCAGCAATAGAAGACATTTTGATGCCGAGACAGTGGCGGCAGACGTTTGCAAGTGCGAACTCTACCCCAAAGTGTTTCTAGAAATAGCACACGTGGATGGCATGGCCGGAGACGAGTCAGATGGCTGAATGGCCGGCATAATCACAGGGCCTAGCTAACATCTTCATTGTTTGCATGCGAGTCGATGTCCAATGGACGTTGTCTGTCTTTACTTTGAAGCGGTCGTTAGCATACAAAACCAGAGCGGATGAAGCAATCATTCGGATGCACCCACCTGCATCGTGGCTACTGCGGCCGAGAAACTTGCTGCGGCGCGTAGTCTTAATCTTTCGGCGCCGTATCTCCGCATAACAAACCCTGCTGATGTAGAAGCAAAGAAGCCATGGAGAACACGGTAAAAAGTCTCAACACACGACTCCGGCGCGTGCATAAGTGGTGCACGATCATCCCGACTGATAGTGGGCAGAGGAAGACGCAGCGGCCATGCCAGTCCAGCCAATATAGGCCTCCACCTCTCGGCCCTCGTTACCGGACAATTGTCTGCTGACGAGACCAAAGACATGTGCACTGCCAGGTTTTGTGGCCGCTGAAGACGAATGAGCAATGCGAACTATGGACACAAGTGCCTGTCGCAAACCTACTGTCTGCTGTCCTAATAACGGGCCATAGATAGGGACTAGGAGACGGATCAAAGACGAGCATAGCGAGACACAGTGAATCCGGGCTCTGCGAGGCGTGATGACGAAAACTGGAGGTCCAATATCTCCAGAGCTCTGTCGCGATCAGGCATCACGCTGGTGTCCTTCAACCAGTCAAACATGCCTTGCAGCGTCTATTCCATCTGCTCCAACTGCTCCTTGGACACGCCGCCAGCGATGCTTTCCTCCAACGTCAGCTTCTCCATGCCCTCACCCCGCAGGTCGAATATGTGCCCTACAGCTCGTGACTTCGCTGCTACCGATTGCGAGAAAGGACGCCGGATCTGGTCGTAAACCTGCAGAGCTTGGGGAACCGTTTCCCGCGTAACGCGAAGATGCGCGAGTATGGCGGCCAGGACGAAGCCGTCCTTGTTCGGAGACTCAGCAGGGTGCACGATAAATGGGCGCGATCACGTTCCTCCATTGCTTGCCCAGCTCCCGCACCTTGGAAGGGAGTCATCGCGTGGGCCTAGATATTCATGGTTGCATCGACATGAATGCTAACCGACTATAAGTAGGATGAGGATGATACTGACCGCATCGCCCAAGAATCCAACACGATCGCCCACGTAGGCAGGCTACGGCGGAAGGGCATGATCCGCCCATGCAGAGACATCTCCAAGACACTGATATGAGTGCAAGGAAGAACGTCGTCAAAAAGAAGGAACGATAGGTTTCAAGCAGCGTACGTTCAACAGATCCTGCATATGGGACTCGAACATAGAGAAAGCCCCGATGAACTCCTCCTTTGCGCACTTGTGCATCCAGGGATTGTTGTACGGTGTGCCTTCTAATGCAGGTTCATATACGTGTGCGCCGAAATTGATCTGTTGGCCTTGCGAAATCGGATATGTGATGACACACTAGAACGCAGTCGGCCCATCGCCTTGGTATTCTCAGAAAGTGGGTAAAGAGCCATACCCTGTCTTTGCCCATACTCTGTGGCGTGTCGAAGATATCCATGAGGGCAGCAGACTAGTGGAGAGAGGAGGCAACCTTACTATGCGCACTTCTTGTGAGAGCGGATTTCCCGGAGATGCAGCTTCGAGCACGTCCTTGGGAACGAGACTACGATACATGATCTTCCCAGTCCACACTGGCTTGGCCTTTGCCATCAATTCGGAAACCCTGGCGTCGTTTCCAGCTTGTTTGGCTTGTGAACTTTACAGTACATCGCGAACGGTTGATCTGATGCCATCGCAGCCAACGAGGACGTTGCAAGTCACCGAAGAGCCGTCTGCGAATTGCAGACGTATCTCGCTGGTATCCATCGTGACATAGGTCGTCAAGCGCTTGGACATATGCAGCTTGCATGGGTCGGGGAGATGTTTGTTAAGGACTTTCTGAAAGTGGGCCCTGTGGTACGTCACAAATGGTGCTATACCAATCAAAGCGTGAGCGCGCAACCGGAGCAATGAGTGTTCAGACTTTACATTCTATCTTCCCTACGAAAATGCCCTGCGGCTGATCTGCCTTTCTGTATACCATGGAATGCGCTATGCAAAGTGTAGAGCGTCAGTTTCGTCTCGTCGTGAACATCCATAAGTGCACGCACGAGCTACCTGCCCATCCTTCATGTGTGTGATGGACAGAAGATCGTCTTCTAGTCCGAGCTCTTTCAAGATCTGCCACACTCTAGGCGACACGCCTATTCCAGCGCCGACTCCAGAAAGCACGGCAGTCGACTCGTAGATGTCCATGGAGACGTTAGCGCATGATCTGTGGAGCGATAGTGCGAAGCACAATCCTCCAATTCCAGCACCGCTGTGACAGAAGAGTTCAGCAGGAGTGAATCCGCTGAACATAACATGACTTACACGATCGCAATCTTGAACTAGGGCTCAGTCATAGCTGTGGACATGCTGGAGTACTTTGACCAAAGGTCCTCATGTATTATACACTGGTTGATAGCAACGCCCGATGACGCAGCACTTCTGCATGCTGTATGCAAGCTGCTACGACTATCAGTCAGCGAGGACAAATAGAAGACGTGTTGGCGCTGATACAATGGCGCGAGATGCTTGCAAGTGCGAACTCTATCCCAAGGAGTCTGAAGAGATAGCACACGTGAATGGCATGATCGGGGACGAGTGAGATGGCTGACATGGTCAGTGATGAATCACAGGGCCTAGGGACCATCCTCGTTGTTTGCACGCGAGTTGATATCCAGTGGACGTTATCTGTCTTTACCTTGAAGCGGTCGTTAGCATACAAAAAGAGAGCGGTGAGGCAATCATTCGGATACGACATAACTTAACTGCATCATGGCTACTGCAGCCGAGAAGCTTGCTGCGATAAGTATTCTTAGTATTGCGGTGTCGCATCTCCGCATGACAAGCCCTGCGTAGGCAGAAGCAAAGAACCAGTAGAGAACGGAGTAAAAGTCTCAGCACACGACTTCGACGCGCCACGCATGGTAGTGCACGATCATCTGCGAAGTGCACATCCCATCTTGACTATGGAGCATTGCCGCGGCTTTCAATTGCGGCATCGATTTATCGAGTAATCATCGTGTAAACATCAAACAAATATCTGCGAGCGAACATCAGCATTGGGTGCAAACGCACAAGAAAGCAACACCAACCATTCCAGTGCACTATTATGACACATTATACAGCTCTATATATCTTCATAGATCTCATCCGGTTTTGGCCTTCAACTGCTTCCACAGCGTAGAGAACATCACCGCCCCGATACCTACCAAGGCGATCTGCAGCCCGACATAGCTCAGCATCCCGACCTTCGTGCCCGCACCTCCCCACACCGCGCCGCACACGCGCCCCGTATAGTTGCTATACTGGATCGCCATACTGATGCGCATATTCCACTCACCCGGCAGCTGCTTCGAGAGCAAGCTAAGCGTGACCGTGCTCGCGAGGTTGAACCCGAGCGCGACGAGGAACCAGCATATAAACAGGCTACCATAGTTCACCGCGTTTCCGCGCAGGATGCCGATGGCGATCAGCAGCCCCACGAGGCCGAGCCCAGACCCGACAGCGAGCGTGTGCCTGTCCTGCACCCGCCGCGCGGCGACGAGGTTCACAAGCAGGAACGGGATCGTGCATATCCCGCCGAGCGCAATGAGGTTGCCTGCGGCGGAAGGACTGAAGTGGAACGGGTTGACGCGTAGGTTCGACTCGGTGAAGACCGGGATGTTGGCCTCCCATGCTCCCAAAATGAAGAAGCAGGTCATGGCAAACCAACACATAGTCGCGGTCACTCCCCACTGGGCAGCAGACATGCGCATCGGCGTTGGCTGCACAGTGTCGGTGTTCATGTCATCTGAAGGGGCGGCCACGATAATTTCGGTAGACGAGGCTTTCTCCTCGGAAGGAGCTGCCGATGGCTGGCGAGGGGTAAGCGTGCCACTGGCTGATCCGTAGGACGCGTCGGGAGCACGCGGGGTCTCTTCGTGCGGAACAACGATTCCTTCGCTTGTGATATCCCGCGAGCTTTTGTTCCTAAGCGTCTGTTGTCTATTGCGAGAAGGCGACGCAGATTGAAGTTCAACCTGCGTGCCTGCAGGAGGCTTTGGGGGAACATCCTCGTACAGCAGTGCTGCAACAAGCCAGAACACAGCCCAGAGGGCCGACAATACCCATGTCGGGCTGGTGTACCCATTGAAGACGGCGTTTGAGAAGCCGACTTTGTAACTAGACGACAAATCAATAGTTGTCATGATCTCATCACTAACAGGTACCTACAGAAGACCACCAACGAACGGGCCAACGCTGAAGCCGACACCCTGACCCAGCACGAGCCAGCCGGCCAGCATCGTTCTCCGTCGTACACCGACGATCCTGGGATCCGAGCAGTATCGCTTCGAATACATCCAGAATGTAAAGCCAAATCCGGACACGATTCGGCCAATCAGTATGAGATACAGAAAGTTGGCGTAGTACGCCAGACTGTATAGCACGTTACCAAGCAACGCAGAAGCACATGCAAAGTGGAGAGGACGCTTGTATCCACCTTTGACGGCATGATCAGTAACCGAAAGAACGTGGCTTTTGGTGAGCACCCACCGCCATCAAGCTTTGCCAAAGGGACCAAAGCGAGCCCGGAGAATACCGTCGGAATACCGATCACCAGACCGGAGAACGTAGACGTGCCACCCAGATGTTTGGCATACTCATTAGAAGATGACACGACGATAAAGAAGGAGACCTGACAACATGCACGTCAGCTGTGCAGACCTACCGTGAAGTTCGTGGCATTTACCTGTAGCAATGCGCTCGCCAGTAAAACGATGATCAAAGAAGTCAACTTTGGTAGCTTGAACTCGTCGCTTGCATTGGCTGGCGCTATCTCAGGCTGAGCCTCACGATCTGAAATCTGGACTTCGGGACGGACATCGGGCGTTATGCTCTGTGGTTCATGGGAGCCTCGCGTGAGGGTCCTTGCCAGCGGAGCTGGAAGATCAAAGACAGTGTTTAAGAGTTGGGGCATGCTCTGATGAGACCGTACTCGTATCGTCGACACGAGAGAAAACAGCTATGAGAGCGTCGTGAAAGAGCCGTGTCAGGAGTGGGGTGGAGTGAGGTACTATAGCCGAGAGAGCCGGTGGAATCTGCTGTGGCGGCGCTCCGCCCCGACTATAAACCAACGATTGTGAGTTTGATAGTTCCTGGTCCTCCCGAGGCATGATTATACTTACCGAACCTATAGTTTTAATTTCCATATTCAACACGGTTGTTTGGGGAACCGATGCGCCGCACACAGCATACGTCCCGTTTGACTGTGGCCGCAGTGGACACCGTTTCAGAGTCCGAGGCCAGCTTCTGGATCGGTGATTGCCGCCAACTCCCACGAGATGATGCATAGCAGTCTAAAGATCAGAATAATAGTCGAGTCGATGGAATACATGAGCAGCCGCTAGGATGGCTCATCGGGAGAAAATCCTCATCGGCTTGTGCTCGCTGAACCGACTTCTCGACTTGGATGCACTTACATGTAAGATCAATAAGCTTAGTAAGTCTGTTTATTGCCGAAGGTTCCCATCCACTTGGTGAGAAAGGCTGAATTTCTGACCTACTTACAATATCCTTTCTGTAACATAAAGGGACACTTTGCTGTGGTCCAAGCCTGAACCCAAAAAATACATCATGTGCATGTTTCCTCCATTCATAGCCTTATTTGCTTTGCATAAGCTGGCAGATGCAGGTATAGTAACTAAGGGAAAATTGTTCGTGATGTCTCAAAGGTTCACACAGCAATGAGATTACCTATTCTTGTCGCAGGAGAAGTGGCATTGGAGCTGAACTGGATGTTCAGCTGACAGCATTCTTTGCTAAGAGCCCGATGTGGGATTCCGCTTCATCGGGTCCCTAATTAACTTTCATGAATAATAGATGAAGTGCCTTGAATAACTGGCTCGCGGAGAGCGTCGCAGAGGGTCGTGAATCGTTTGCTAATGCGTCCACGCCGCTCTCGCTGCGACTTTTGTCCGCATTTATGAAGTCTTATCGATCTTCTCCACAGTCCGTTTTGCATCCGACCTTGATCGATAGTGAAATGGTACCTAGTACGCAAGATGATAAGCATGCTTGGGCGAATTGAGTGCGTACCGTGTATTCGGCACTTCTACTGGACAGGATGCTCCTACTATACATCCAGCACGATCGTTGCACTGGCTCGTTTGAGAACACCCAAGGCTAGTCCACTGCAACAGCTCGCGCAGCATCAATCAGTTAACGCTCATCATTCAATGGACACGATTGCTGGTCGTAGACTGTCACTCGTCGAAGCTTCTGCGACAGTTCGCAACAGATGAACAAGATAGCTAAATCCACCGCCGAATTTGAGACTAAGTACGGCCGCCTCAAGTCCGCGGAGTCAGCCAAGTTCGTAGTAATCCGGATTGCCCTAGATGCGAAGCTGGATGCAGGTTGTAATGATAGCAAGAGAGGGTTCTGGCATCGGAGCCGTAGATTCTAGAGTTGGCTTGACGCTCATTTCCTTCGAACCTCTGCTTCAGTTCTCACCTCATACCCTGTTCCTTTCTTTCATGCAAAACAATCAGTCTTCCATGTACTCATCAACGTTGTGGTCGCAACCAGTTCTTCACGAGGTTCCGGGCATGGCCTGAGTCTGAGTCTCAACCTGCTGCCGCCACCGGAAGATCCCGAGCGGAGGCGAAACGCGCAGTAGTTCACCGCGCTCTATTCGGCAGCAATTGAGCTAATGATTCTTTCCCTGTGAAGTCTACACTTATACGCAATTCGTATGCTGTTTCATAAGCTGCTGTGGTCTAGATGCCTCATGTGTGAGGAGGCGGGCAGTGACGATTGCGTGCCGAGCGGTGCCGGCGGCGGCATAGACACCGCCCATTCATTCGAATAAAGGCGTGGGAACGCACAGCTTAGCTGAGTTTGAAAGCTTGTACATCCGCGGCCGTTGTGTTACGTCGCGTGATAAGCGTCGGAGACTGACCGCCGGTTACTTAATGGGGGCGTGCTGCGAGTGACCCGCCTTCATTCTTTCCTCCGTTCTCCATCGAATGGTACCACTGCTCGGTCGCATACGGTCGTCTCAGTTGTTGTTCACGTTCGCACAGGCGGCGATTAATCACAATGTTCCCTCTCTGCAGCCCAGCGCCACGCACACTCACTCCTACGCAAAGCGAGCTATCGAACATGGCAGTACGGAGTTTATCGTCTTCGCCATTCTCATCCCCGTGCTCGTTATCTTGTCTGGTATCTTTGCCGGTCTGACACTGGGATACATGTCGCTCGACGAGACGCAACTGAACGTGCTCAGTATCAGTGGTACTCCGTGAGTGGTCTATATCGTTATCTGAACCGCCGCTGATTGTCCTCGCAGTAAGCAGAAGGAGTATGCTAATAGGATCAAGCCCATTCGGAAGAATGGCCACTTCCTCCTCGTCACTCTCCTACTCGCCAACATGGTCGTAAACGAGACTCTCCCCGTGATATCTGACCCCGTCCTCGGCGGTGGCGTGCAGAGTGTCGTCGTCAGCACGGTCCTCATCGTCATGTACGTGCACGTCTTCCGTCGTTCGCACGCTCGTCCGATTAGCATTTCGCTTCCGGGCACGAGTTATGCGCAGGACCACCAGACACGTTCGTAATTGGTGCGTGTCTTCGCGGCCCGATACACGTGATATGCGTAAATTTGGAGGTGGCCATTGCACGCTTGCAATATGCGCTGTCTGATAGCATTGCCCTCGACAAAAGTGCCCCTCCGATATCCATATGTTTCTTGGTGCCTGCGCATGGCATTCACTTGAGTTGAGGGGGGGTGATATGACAGCCCCACTTGGGCGATTGACTTGCGCGTCCAAGCGACTTCATCTCATTGTCCTCTGTGGAGGCGTGGTTTAACGCGTGGGATAGTAGCGTGGTATGATAACGTGCAATGAGCGCTCACATGAGGATATGAATTGAGTGCATCATGGGTCATTGACAAGCCTCTAATCGCGGAGCGCCTTTGACTTCAACGTCCTACGGGCTCTTCCTTTATTGTTATCCCATCGCGTACTGTTTCTGACCATCTCTTGAATGCAGCTTCTCCGAAATCATCCCGCAGTCGCTTTGCACCCGCTATGGGCTTTTCTATGGCGCAAAGATGGCCGGCATTGTTCGCGTCCTCATGTGGGCAGCCGTGAGTTGCATAATCCTTGACTTATCGTCCGCGCTCTGATCTCTCCTTTCCAGGCTCCCGTCGCATATCCTGTCGCAAAGCTGCTTGAATTCATCCTCGGCCAGCACCATGGTATCATGTATCGTCGTGCAGAGCTCAAGGAGCTCATTGCATTGCACTCGAACGCTGGTGAACTCGGTGGTGACTTGAAGACAGACACAGTGACGATCATTGGTGGTGCGCTTGACCTTCAGGAGAAGGTTGTGAAGCAGGCGATGACGCCAATCGAGAACGTGTTCATGCTCAGCATCAACTCGCGCCTCGACTATGAAACGCTCCGCGAGATCTGCCTTACGGGCCACTCACGTGTGCCGGTGTACGAGGAGGTTGAGATCCCTGCACCGGCGGTTGTGGGTGCCATGAGCAGCGAGAATGGCGACGGTTTGACGAGCGAGGCCGTAAGCATTGTCGGCAGCAAATCACAGATGATCAAGGCAAAGAAGGTCGTCGGTATCCTCTTGGTCAAGCAGGTGAGTCAATTGTGTGAACCTTGTGTCACTCCTTCTGAATCGAATGCCTCCAGTGCGTGCTTCTCGACCCGAAGGACGCGACGCCAGTCCGCAACATACCGCTGAATAAGGTGCCGCTGGTCCCGCACAATGAGTCGCTGCTCGGCATCCTAGACAAGTTCCAAGAGGGCCGGTCGCACATAGCTATCGTGTCACGGTTCAGCATCGAACGCGCTGCGAGCGTGAAACAGGTCGTCAAGCACGGGCTCACGCACCGGCTCCGCAAGGGCGTCGAGAGCGACGCGGAGAGCAGCGCAGATGAGGGCGAACACCAGAGTCGCTGGAAGCCGCATATCCGCCGTAAGCGCAGTGAGGGTGAGGGTGAGAGCAGCGGAAACGAAGAGACGCTCCGAGAGCAGGATGAGACGAGCGACGACGCGGCATCGCGCAACAGCGAGGGCCGCCGCAAGGGCCTGCGACCGTTCAGTCGTCGCGGTAGACGGAAACACAAGAACCAGAAGCCGGAGGATATCGATCTCGAGATGGGTGTCGTGGATAAGGAGCAAGCGCTTGCGGAGAGCAAAGCCAAAAAGACTAATTTGGTTCTGCCGCGCGCTCGCTTCTGGGGCAATGAACAAGATGTTCCTGCTGACGCTGTACTGTCGATCGAAGGCGCGGAGGAGGTGAGTTGGCAATTTCCGTGAGTGATTATCTAGGAAGCTAATGATATGCCGTGTCAATAGTTCCTGCAGATCACCGATCCTGCGATCATGCCTTTGGGGATCATCACCTTGGAAGACGTGCTAGAAGGTATGCATGGCAGTTCGATGTGTGCATGGACAGCTTGCTGATATGTGATACGCAGAGCTGATTGGAGAGGAGATCTACGACGAGTTCGATCCGCAGGGACATCCTCTTTTGTCGTCGTATGCCGGAGTAGAGGCCAAAGTCAAGGCCAAAGTCAAGTTACCTGGTGGCGGCCCCCTCCGCCGCAGACGCTCCGCGCCTCAGCTCGCTCTCTCCGCCGATCCGGCCATTTCTGCCTCCACGCCCTCCACGGACATATCGACGTCTCCAACTGTCACCCCTGACTATGCTTCCGCAGGAGATACCAAGTCTGGCACTGGCACGCCGACGCAGTTCGCGATATCCGGACTTCCGTTGCGAGGCCTGCAGGCGCTGAGCTTGAGGGGCATCGGGTCGCGCATAGCGAGGTCGAGCAGCGCGCCGCCCATTCCCAGGGATCAGGAGACGCTCGACAAGGAGAAAGATGGTGCTAATACCCCTGCTCCTGTCCCTGAGGGTGTGGTCGTGGTGACATCTCCGCCTTCGGAGGTCTCGGATCAAGGCAGAGCAGAAGACGAGAAGCAGCTGGGCCCTACTGGGATTGCAGATGCATACACTGTGGAGGTGGAGACGCCTACAAAGATACCCCAAGTCGTGAGTGCCGAAGCGAGCGCACGGACGCGTCCTTCAGTCCCACTCTCTCCGTCTCCCGTGCGAGCGACCGCTGTCCCGCCGCCCAGCATAAACGCGACGCTCGCTGCAGCGTCGAAGCCGACATCCCGCAGTTCGTCCCCGTCGCCCTCGCTCGAGCAGGCGATCCTGATTGAGCGGAAACGGCGTGCAGCGTCGGCTGGTGCGGGCAACTTGCCTGCGCCGAAGGGATTGCGGTACAAGAGCAGTCCGTTGACGGGTGAGAGGAGCGGTCTGGTCGTCGCCGAGGCGGTCAAGCGCGACATGAGTGCGGGCCTGGAGAGCGCGGAGAGCGAGAAGAAGGGTGAGAGCCCTTTTGATGACTGACGATGAGATGATTCCGACGTAGAGCGTACGGTTTTCTGGATGGATAATGCGGTGAGACGTTCGACTGCACTGCCGCGATTGTATATGGCGTTCTCTCCTTTCTTGCGCATCGCACTTTCAGCACATATGGCATGTCAAGTACTGTTCTGCTCGTGTATCATATGTATCAGTAGCCGATATGGATCGGATTGGATCAGACGTACGTATAGTAGTGTATGTAGCTGGACCTCGACGTGTGGTCTGTATGTTTCTGTAAACCGAGCATCATGCGTACCTTGACATTAAATTTTTTTTTCATCCCTTAGGCTTGCTCGCGAGCGGCATGTCTGAACATAGAATATGATGCATGATGCATGATGCTCCAAGCTCCTTCCGAGCCAATATTGGATGACTATCCGTAGGCCGTTTAGATACGACTTTAGAACACACATCTGTTCCAGATTGCTTGCCGCAGTTTAGCCGGCATGACAGCGTGACATTTTGAAACTCCGATGCTTGTTCCAAACGCACGAATCTGGAGAGGGGGGTGCCCCCCTCTCCAGATGTCTCTGAGGCTTTCCAGACAGCTTCAACACTTTTTCCGACGTCGTGCACCATCCGATTGGCGGTGATGATGATCCGGCTGCAGCGCTGCCAATGCCCGGAGGCCTGTCGCGCTCTCGTGATCAGCGACGCGACGCGCGTCTTTTTTGTTGAATGTCCTTCACCGCACAGCGGCATTGAGAATTTGAGATGGACTTGAACAGGCAGAGCCATGTCAACTTCAACGACATGGGTCCTTACATCATGACTTGTGTCTCCGATGTTGAACAAGGCATGGCAGCAGCACTGCTTATAAAATGCATGCAGGATAGGCGTGGGTGGCTATGATCTGGAAAAGTCGTATCCAAAGTCGTACCTAGTTGGGTTCGAAACTGCGTTACGGTCTGGAACAGCTCACGAGTCACATTTTCAAACTCAGTCATTTGGAACAAAACAGTTCTAAATTCCTACGGATAGTCATCCATTGTCCGAGTCTGCCCGGAAATTACTGGTCGATGTGCATTAAGCGCTGACCAGTTTGATGGCTAGCGCGCATCACCTTCACTTCGACTCGGGCTCGATTCCCCGCCCTTTTCAAGCGCTTTCCATGCGCTCATCATGAGAGGACTGGTGGACCCGGCCAGGCAATGACGAGGCTCGAATAACCGATTCAGGCGTGGAGGAGCGTTGCAAGCGAAGATTCCGCCGCCGCCGTCGGACGTGCAGTACGTGCTTGGCCCCCCATGCATCATCGCATGTCTGATGCTTCACGGACATGATTGCCCGACGCACTGATCCGCCAAATCATTCTGTGACTATCCGCCCCGGCTAGCGACAGCTAAGGAAGCTATGTGATCCCGTAGGTTGATATTGAATTGCCACGCTCCCGGGAAGTCGGTTGGGGACGCGGGAACATTTTCAAGAAGCACTGTTTCAGGTGGTCTCTCATCTTGTGACTAGGGAGGAGTTGGTGCCAACCTGCTTCATGGGGTCCGTCTCGTGCGTATAAAAGAAGGCGATGGCAGAGGCAGTCTTCCCCAGCTCGCTCACAACGAACACACCACCAGAACTCCTTTACAACTCCTGTTAACGTCTTTCACGCTCGTATCCCTGTAATCATGCAGTTCACCGTCCTCACTGCCGCCATCGCCCTCCTCTTCTCCTCCACGGCTCTCGCCCAGTCATCCGTGACGGTCGCCTATGACCAGACGTACGACAACTCGGCCCAGTCGCTTTCGACCGTCGCCTGCTCGGACGGCACGAACGGCCTCCTCACCAAGGGCTACACCACCTTTGGCTCGCTGCCCGACTTCCCGTACATCGGCGCGGCCGCGGCGGTGACCGGATGGAACTCTGCAGAGTGTGGGACGTGCTGGCAGCTGTCGTACGATGGCAATACTATCAATGTCCTCGCGATCGACCATGCCGGGTCGGGCTTTAACATTGCGCTGGAGGCGATGAACGCGTTGACGGATAACGAGGCGGTGGCATTGGGGAGGGTCACTGCGACGGCGACCCAGGTCGATGCGTCGGTGTGTGGACTGTGAGCTTTCTCTGATGGAGCACGTCTGGGTGAGTGCACCTTCCGCTTGATGTTGAGGAGGGCTTCTGATTTCCTTTACCCATGTTTTCGGTTCAGAATGACGACGCTGCTGGTTCGACCATTTGCACTAGGTTCTTGCTAAAGCTGACGATGTTACGAACTCTCACGGACTCCATGATGGACTTGGACTTGGACTTGGACTTCACATGAACTGTTGTCCTGTCGTTGTTGTTGTCAAGTTATGTAATAGTTGTCGATCAGCAATGGATTCTGGATCTTGTTACATTGGAAGGAGACTGTATGCGCCTCGAGATAAGCTTCGCAGTGTTAACTGGGTGTCTCAACCGGTGGGTCCTGAGCTATAAAGTTATATCGGGGGGCATCATAGCGCCTCGACAGCAGGATTGTGTCTAACCGTATAGCACTGGCATTACGCTACGACTGACTTGACAATGCCCAGCTTATTAGGCAGATGCATTTGTACTCAATACGAAGGATAAGAAAAACTGGCATACCCCCTGGGCCTCATAAGATGCTTCCCATTGTCGCAAAAGAAACGAATGATATTCCTGTAGTGGGAAAGCTCACTATAATCATGATGCCGAGCTTCAATAACCCACCTACCCCCCCAGCCTAATGGCTGCAGCTTGAGTTCAAGTTAACAATGCACTTGCCAAGTTGTTACCATTCCTCCATTGTTATGTCCATGTCTCTAGGTTCGATTCCTCCCTTGACCACTGAGTTGATGGCACACTTTTTTTTCCTGGCAGGTGCTCTTCAATTAATTCTCCCACTCTGCCTCTAACAGTCAAAACTCACACATATGCTTTATCTCTATGTCATTTCCCAGCTCTCATTGCAAGGAAAATTGTACAATGACTGGAGCTCCCCACTGTCGGAAAGTCACGTGAGGCTCGATCTGGCTGGCCGCTACCTTTCTAACTTGGCCAGTGGCCACCACTGCCTCCTACCAATGTTCTCGACTGTGTCGCTCAAACATGGCTCGTACTGAAGTGCACACAGTCCCTGAAGCAAAAATGGTTGCGCAGAGACCGTTGTAATGCGATCTAGAAACAACAATGGACACCTTCATGTCCTGTCACAGGCTGGCATAGTTCTCATAAGGCATAATGCTTGCGCAAGTGCCTGAGCGTCTCACAACTCTCGCGGAGTTACAAACTCTGTTATTGTTTCTCACGCCTTACAGCAAATGTAAGCTCATAACATCCGAGGCCTTTTTCCCTGATGGTCCACTCGTGTACATGAAGTGAAGCATCATGTATGACTCAGGTGAGCTTTGAGTCAAAGTGACTAAAAATAAGGTCCTTTATCTAGTATGCCATCATACTGAGGCACGACCCATGCAACTTAGGGCAGGAGAGAGAGAGAACATGTGAATGAGGTTGCAATGAAACTTAGTCTGACATCCTATCATAGGTCATTTGTTTTTGCACTTTAGCAAGTGCCGGTCAGAGAAGATTGTGCACAAACCTCGGTACAGATTCTTCAGCCCAAGTGCACCTTCATTGCAGGCCCTGCTCAATGATGGGAGTTCAACATGTGAGTTCAGCCCTTAGTTATCAAGCGCTCATCCTGGATGAAAATAGTACATCTACTTCTGCATGTTTGCCAGCCCAGAGTTTCTATGCCTGGAATGATCTGCATGTGAATCTAGTCTCACGTTGATCGTGGCCTGTTCCCATTCACATTCTTCCTTGTGAAGCTGAGCCACATGCAGGCATTCCTGAATAAAAGTGAACATGCCGTCCACAATGCACATGATGTCAGCGACTTCTGTATATTAATGAGCAGTTGCTCTGCACAGCTGAAGTTGATCATGTGGCTGTAATGGTAGTCCATGAATCTGCAATTTCTACTGGCCTTGTGTACTGACATTGGGCTTCACAGGTTTGCTAGAGGACGTATTGATCTCCGAATGACAAATGAAAGCTGATTTGCATTCTTACAGCGCAGTATTCGCGTCCGATTTTGGCTCAATCTGATGTGCTAGTGAAATCAATTCCTGTGAAAGTTCCACAATCAAGGTCCCTCGATGCAGGGCATGGCATTTGGAGTTCGGAGCCATCCTCCATGCTGTGTGTTTTCAAACAGTCTGTAGATGTGCTGTAATTGTCATTTTTCATTCAAGAATTCATGCGCGAGATGAATCTGTGAGCACTCAGAATGACCCTCTCGAAGAAAACAGCGTCCTTGGTTGTCAAACCCAGTTTTCAGTTGACAGCAAACCTTATCATTCAAGTTACGCCACCGCAGTGTTCCATCAATGGCATCCTTACTGGACAACATGATGCACGTAGTCAGTTTGGCCTTTCACACAGAATGTGTTGCATGGCATTCGATGACCTGATGTATCATGCAGCCATAATGTATGAGGCCAACTAGTTGTCTGGCCTGTGCCCAATTTTTGGCCTGCACACTTTTGTGAAAGAGTTCATCGTTTCTATTACCTGTCCCAGTGACATGGTAATACTGGCTCTCTTTGGATAGTGCTCATCATGAAGAATCTTATAGAGGCCATCGAGAAAATGATCCCATCATGTGCTGTAGCAGCTGTTGCTGCCTCTGTGCTGCAGAAGTACTAACAGAGACTGTTGACTCGTCCTACATCAGTGAATCTCAAATCCACCTTAGAACACTTTCATTTGCTTGCTGTCACCAAAAATGACAGTAAGTTCAAGAAAGTCCCAGGACCTTCTTCTTTCTCAGTTGGAAGCTTCTTAATATGCACTTATTTGGTTGTACAAGCCAATATCAGCAAGAACAAGTCAAAAAGGAGGTTTCTGAGCACAAGTCAGTTTCAGCATTCCTGATGCTACCTCATGATCATTCATACCGTTTCGCATTCATGGCTCTACATATATATCACCGCTAATATCAAACTTCCTCACTCTCCCCTCCAGGTAGGACGTATTCCTGCAACCCTCAACCACTCGATGCTACTTTCCCTGCTGTTGTTTCAGTCCTCTCAACGTATCTGTCAATTCACCAATGTTACACCCATTTCAGATCTCTGAGTCTATGGCATAAATAATGTCTCCCCACATTACCATGAGCTCAAGGACTGCAGAACACTGAACAGCATAATACGGAGCTGTGTGGTGACAACTTTCACACGCATATGGGGTGCCATCCATTCTGACGTACCCAATCTAGAAGAATCTAGCAGCCAGCATCTCCTACGTCACATTGGATTTGTGCTCTGTGCAGTTATTGCCCCAGAATTGTATGTTTGGGTAGTGGCTCATCAGTGGGTGGCTGCACGTCAGTTATAGAAGAAATACGAAGGAGAATGTGGGTCCTTCTATGCATCTATTGGCATCAGAAACTGATACATGCACTAGACCCAGCGTGGACATGCAAACATGGGTTCTTCTTGCTCATGGGGGGCTTTGCCATCTGCAAAGAGGAGGGACTTTGCCAGCTCTTTCCTCAGGAGTTCTCTGAGAAGCTGGAGAAGAATAAAATCGTATTTCTGGACACAACCAAAGCAGAAATCAAGGACAGGAGTAAGGCAAACTTCTTGTCCAAGGTTGCAATCGTAATTCAGACTGGCTGGTTCCTGCTTCAAATCATTACTCGACAGTTGAAACATTTGATGATAACCCCGCTGGAACTTGCCACTGTCGCCTTCACATCGATGACCTTCGCAATGTACTTCTTCTGGTTTCACAAGCTGCTGGATGTCACTTGTCCTGTGATTCTTCGTCGTGAGCTGTCACAAGGGCACATGAAGGCTGCCTTTGATGATGAACGAAATGTAACTGAAAAGGGACCTGTCGTCGGACCATCTAATTCTCTCAGTAGTAATTCTACGAGTGAAGAGGAACATGCTCAACATTCTGAAGTAGTAGAAGTGGTGGGTCGAGTCTCTTTATAATCTTCTAATCTGATATCTGAGCTCATCATTGGGGCAATTGAACTACATATATCATAGGATGAAAAAGCAGAGTCTACAATGCGCTCGATAGGGCCTGCACATGTTCGTTCACTCACTGATGAATGTGAAATCGATCATGTCAGACACGAGGATCACACCATGCATGACATGTGCCTCTTGAAAACAGTCCCATCTGGGGACCCTCGCAGTCCCATAATCTGATGCAGGCATAACTCGATAATCTGTGTTAATAATGGGAGTAATCGAGGTGCACTTACTATTCTGCATGCATTACATCGTACACTCCTGATGTTATTGTATGTCCCACAGGTTCATCTCTAATCTGTGCACTCCTCAAAAGGATGTATATGATTGCACAGAACCTTGAACAGCTTTTTGGTGATTTAAAGACAATAACTCACCACGCTGTTCAGGCTCTTGAGGCAAAGAATGTCCCTTATCCTCTCCTGATCTTCGTTATACCATTTATCATCCCGGTGGATGTCATGAGAAATGTAGCATGGCACGTAACAGATGCCTGGTGGCACACAGAATCCGGTTGATCTGAAGTCGAGGAAAATGTAGTGTAGGAGGACTTGACCTTCACCGTGGCTGTTGCAAGCGCTACTGTCTTCGGGCTGCTCCATTGCACAGCGTGGCCTGCTGAAGAGTTCGCAACCTGGCACAAGCAACATTTCTGGTGTGCGGCATCACTGGTAATCACTTGCATTCCAATTCTCTCATTCACGATATGGCTTCTGTGCAAAAAGTGGAAACACGAGTTAACCGAGCACATCAAGACCATATGTGAATCTCTGCTTCCACCTTTATATATATTGCCTCAGATTGTGCTGTTGGTTATCACATTCACATCTCTGCACTATCTTTCTTACACTACTGCTTACAACATTGTTTTTTGGAGCAAGTTCATACCACATTTCTGATCGATGATAGTGTGCTATATGAGCAGCCTCAGTGTTTGGACGTCTCTCGTCATTAATGGACTGTGTATATACACTCATGTTGGATCACGCAACATATACCAACTACAATTACTCATGGCTAAAACACTATTTATCTGCAGAACGGTGCACTCTGCTGCCGTCGATGGGGTCGGAGACATATTATGTCATGTAGTGAGGTTCTGCAATTGCAGGCATTCATCAATGACATTATGGCATATCCTTGACGTACCCTCCTTCATCACTGCCACCATGTCACCTGCTCCTCCAAAATGCCCCCTTTCAGCCTCACAACTATCGCAACTTATTATAATGCATTTTAGATGGGTGGAGATAGTCTCGCGTTATTATATATAAGAAAATCAGGCAGAGCACTTGAATGTGCCATCGTTTCTAATGCTTCATGCCTTATCATCATTTGCATGCTCAACCTCAAAGGCACAGCAGAACATGTCTCAGTCAAGAAGTATGAGGCCCCATCCATCAGGAGCCCAGCAGATAGAATGTGTTGAGAACCTTTCTGTAATGAACAGCATATTAGAAACAGATTCTCGAGGCAAACACTGAGAAGTAAATACCTGCAGGCACACCAACGCACTCAGCGATCGCCTCTTCCCCTTCGGTGTCTCCGTCCCGCTGACCCTCACTCACCCACTCATTGCTCCACAGGTAAACAATGCCACCACTCATGCATATCACCAAGCTTTCCTTCCACACAGGGTTCCATTGTGCACAGGCCACTGCTGCCACATGCACCAGCACAGTGTGCAGTGTGGGGTGCAGACTGGTACCTTTGTGTGACCCAGCTGATGTCAATGACTTAATTCTGGGAAACTTGTAAAGCCAGGTTCTGTTCGGCACACTGGCATAGTGTACCATAAGGTATGACCCATCTGCGTTCCATGTGAGATGATCACCTGGATTTGCCTTTGCAGTGCTGAGCTCTGGAGGGGGTTTCGAGCAGTCACAAGGGGAGAGGGTAAGCGAATGTGGTGCTTAAATGTATTCGTCTACATGGAGAAGAGATGAGCATCCAGGCAGAGTGTACAATATCAGAAGGATACTTGCATGAGAGGAAGCCACAGCTGTGTGTTGCCTCTAGCCATTTATCAGGTTCATGCCAGATCGTCTGCGAAGGTAAAATGCACATATCAGATATGCAGAATGATCATGAACACATCAGAGCACTCACTACACCTGAGGGCACCTTGCTCTGCAACTCAAACATTGCAACGAGACCCCATGTTAGGTTCTCCAACACATGCATTTATTATAGATACCACTTTGACTATCACATCGCTCGTACTGATTGACCACTACGGGAATCGTGCCACCTACCTTATCGTCCCACCTGAGCACTGCAAAAAATAGTTCAGCTGGGTGCCACACAATCATGCACACATCAAACCCCAGGTTGCACTCAAGGACAAAGTTCCCTGCAAGTCTCCAGCAAGGCTCAAGACCTGGACTTTGAACTGTTTCGCCAGGTAAGTAAGCCACAATAAAACAGGAAGACGAGAGAAAAGATGTACCTCCAGAGGACCTTCACACACAGCTATGTGGTTCCTCATGGGACATAATGTCAGGATCGACAGTGAAGACATGGGGATGGAAAAATGCTGTGTGTCTGATGGTCAGCTCGTAGGTGTGCATCCAGCATCGGATACATGAGACATACCCTGATGAGACAATATGCTGCCTCAGCATCGTACATGCCAGCAGTGTCTCATGACTTGTGCTGTTTCACAAGGACAAGATAGTGTCCATCAGAATGGAATGCATACCCTACTCAGGATCGTCAATGACCATGACCACAGCTGCAACAAATCAGCTTACTGTGTTCCATCTGCACAGAGAACTGGATGTAAGTGGCGGAACCGGTCACAAGTGACCACAAAGTGAGCCTAAGCTAGGATTACGGCACAAGCTCAGTGACTGCATCAGTCAAAGCAAAATTGAGAGACATACACCCCACTCGCTCCAGCAAACGATCATACGCTCATTCGGGGAGCCCATTCTGCCTTGAAAAGCCTCTCAGCGCCAGCCTCAATGCACGCTCTCCAGTTCTCATCACGCATTTTGAACACTTTGATGACACCTCACTTTGAGCATGTGCCGAAGATGTACTCGAAGTCACTCGACCACCCCATGTGCATGACACTCAACTCAATCGAGCTTGGAGTTGGCTCCACAACCCCTCTGCTGGAAGCCAGCCTATTCCCGGTGTTGGCTGCCACTTTGTTGCTGGGTGGCCTGCTTAAGGTGGACTGCATGAGCAGATGCATTGTGGGAGAAGGCACATCTTCGAGAGCCCATGAGCACATAATCTGGAATGAGTCAGAGCAGCGGATGATGAGATGGTCTTGGATCGCAGTCAATAAGAAGTGTGTGCTGGGGGAGAAAACCACAAGTGATGCAGACTGTTTATAGATCTCGGTGAAATCTATTCATCAAGAATTTGTGAGCCTCGTTTATGCGAAGAAACTTCGAGTGCAGAATAGACATTAGATATAGTCAACGGTACTGCACAGAATTATGTGCAAAAGAGGTCGAGTTGAGATCAAGCAAGATGTTTGCTGCACTGGTAGATAGAAAATGCAAGGCTACCGGGTGAGCTTCAGCTACAATGCATTGCTGGTATCATGAGCAGAGAAGTTGAAGATCCAGTGGAGACACAGAGAACCCAATTCAAGTAGAAACAGATAGGTCATATTTGAGTTCCTGCCAGCAGTAGAAACTGTTGACTTTCTCAGCCAGCTCACTGCATGGCCAGGAGTTCAGGAGTTGCCCGCTCTCTAGAAGATGGCTCCACGGGGCCAAACCAATGGTCCATCCCATTGTAGCTATACCCTATTATATAGCTACTACTCTTCCACATTGGTGGTGCAGGTTGCACCGGGGCCTCTCGCATTTGTGCTCTGCACTCAGATTCCAACAGAAATCTGTGAGATGAAGGAGCATGGCAAAATAGAACATGGTCTAATGGCTAGTACAACATGTCTGTGGCACGTGAATACCTATTTCCACGGTTCCTCTCTCAACTCATACTCAAATGAAATCTCTAAGAGTTTTAGTCTTTTGAGTGTACGTCTCAAGTTCCAATGACAGGCTCATATATGTGCAGATAGCAAGCAGACTGATAACTACATCCATTGAACAGTGCTTTCAGGTCTCATTGATAGATGTGCAGTGCATTTGGGACAGCGGATCATGACGATTGTTGAAAATCCCTTGTTTTTAACGTACCTCAAGATATTGCAAAGAGCCTTCTCTCCCCCTTGAACCAGAATGACAAAAGAAAGTCTGAAGGCGTTATTAGCGATATTGATTTTGGGTCCATGACACGCCTTGGCATGCAAGGAAAGCAAACATATGGATGTAGCTCATATTCAAGAAGGTAAGTTCCCAGTAGCGAGCTGATGTCTTTATCACAGGAAGCAATTGTCTTCTTTATGGCAGCCCACGAATGTGCAACATTAGACAGCACCTCCTTGAAACCTGCATCTCCAGCATTCGAACACTCTCGAACCAAGTATTTCCTCTGAAGTCAGCCGAGGAGAAGCTCCCATGTGATATATCAGCCCCTCTCATGATACCCACACTTCTATCCCCACATAACAAGGAGAACATGGTGTAACAGCATTGAGTTAGACGATAATGCCAGAGCCATGCTGGAGTATTTCTCAAACATGTGCGAAGCCAACAGTGAATCCATCCATCCAATCCTCGAACACATCTGAGGATATCACGTGATGGGCCATTCTTGAGCAATCACATCCCTATGGGGCCTGCACATCCAATGACAGACAACATGCTGACTTCATTATGGTGAACCTCAAGCTAGTAGATCCACCACGGACATCACGTGTGCAGCATTCCGCCTTGTGTACCTCAGGCAGACTGAGAGCCAGACTCATTTTAAGCTCGTGCACCAGCCTATCTATACTCTTCTCACTCTCATGCATTGAGGAGATCCTCTTGGGAAGTGCAGCACCTCTGGATGATCTCGATGTGGAACTTGAAGGTGATCTGATAGATAGGTGCAAGGCAACAGCATCTCCGTGCCTGCTGCTGCATGCCCATGAAGCTGGACACGCCTCGTGCAAAGGGTTGAGCTGCTTGTATCACACAGATTAAACGAGTTCGCTATTGCTTCATAAAGTTCACATTACATTTTTTGTGGATGCTACATCATCTCAAACACAATGGAGGCTGAATGCAGGCAGCAGGCATGTAGGAATTTTATCCCAAAGCAGTGGCAAGCTGCCGTGTTGCTTCTCCAGCCCAACCCATTTACCGTGTTAACCTTATATCTGATTATTTTACCAGCTAACAGGCAATCCATGCCCATGAGTCCAGAAGCCATCGTTCACGTCATGGTGATGGCAAGCAATGTCGCACTGCTGAACATGCACAGTGCAGTGCTAGCTTGTTCTAGCCATTTTAAGCCAAAGTGAGCTTCGCTGCTTATGAATCATGATAGAGACATTGGCCCCAGTGTGGCTGATGCCTTCCTCTCATGTAAGCAGAAGCCATGGAGTGCACACGATGACACTTAAATTTGTCTTCTCTTGTTCAGAATACTTATCTATGTATGAGCATGCATAAGTAGCAATCGAGCTTTCCATCTTAAGGTCTGCATTGATTTCCTTTCTGTGTATCCATAAATATGGATCTTTCTTGGTCCAACCTGTGTGCATTAAAAACTCAGTTGAAACTTGACATTATGTTTTCAGCTTCTGCTGAGATTTTACAAGCCAAAGTAGTGGAGAAAAAAGAACTCTCAGGCAAGACACCTGTTCAAGGCAAGACTCAATCTACCTACCTTGTTGCAATGGCCATGAAATTCGATGCTGAGTGCAGGGTAAACTTACTAACAAACAGCTTCAAATTCAGTACAAAAATTCACTAGGCCATGAAACCATTTGAGCAAATGAGCATGAGAATCATATATCACACTGTATTGCTGTTGCTGCAGCTGTTGATGCTGTTGCACACATATCTGTCCATTCACTAGGTAAAGCACAATACCAATGCTGTTCAGGCTTGTCAGGTGCTGCTGATTCATTGCATTGTCAACAGAGTAGCTTTCTAGTGCAAACCGCATACTGCAGTGGCATGTGGAGCTTATTCCGAAGGTGCTGTGTTCAACTTTTCATACCAAGAAGACAGAGCAAGATCGGGTGTGAAGAAGGCTAGTGGGTTCACGTGTGATATGATGAGGAGAGTTGGCAAAGCTCATCATCTCATCAGCAATTCAGGAGTGCATTATCGATGTTACTAAAACTGCACATGCCACTGTCACATCACGTTTGTGACTTAGTCAACGATGGACGCATGTGATGCACATCCAGCTTCAGCCGCTCTGTGCTCTGTCATAGGCAGCCTATCCCGCTGACAGGTGTCCTGTCTGTTATAAGTGATTTTCTTCATAATTCAGAACTAATGTGACCGGTTTTTCTAATGATGGCTGCCATTCTCACACAGCAATGGTAACTACACAGCGATGATACATACATACATATATATATAGATAAGAATTGATGTAATCATGCCAACTAAGTCTGTGATCCACAGTCAGTCCCACAGTGAAGCATGATATGACATAGAACCTATCAGCTAGACTATAAGTGCTCGACAGCAAATATTCAAAGTGAGATAGCAAAAAACTGAAGTGAAGAAACAAGGGACTCTTCAAGTCATATGCACACTCCCACACAGACATCTCATACGAGGAGAGCCAGCACAACCTCCCATTCACCATTCAGAGTGCCATCGGGGGAGAAGTATGAGCTATTGCTGTTAGCAAAAAGACATGTCAGTCACTCCCAACTGCACACATCTCATCCAACAAATGCTGAGATGCACTTCATCTGCACATGGCTGAAAGAAGCCAGCACCGGTGCAGAAAACATGTCCGATGGTGTTATATGCTTCATCTGCAGCGGCCAACATAGCAGCTTCTGTGCCCTTTGTCTAGTAGGCATGTCATGAGTGGTCGTCTGGGCTCCAGGACTCGCTGGCACAGAGTTTGCCACTGGTAAGACTGCCAGACGTGAGTCCAGCATGGTCGGCAGGCTGGAATGAGTGAGCAGCACAGTGGCCTGCTACTGGTTCAGTATAAATGTCCAACACGATGACAGTGACCTACACTCAGCTTCTGTCGGGTTCCAGAAGACCAATGCCCACAAGCGACCTGAATCACGCATGCTACACATCAGCAATACAGCCATGGACCCTTGCCGACGCCCTCCCGATGCCCTGCATGAGCGAAAAGGCACACAACCTACCTCATGCAATGAACTGCAGCTCTATCCTCTATACGACCCACATCCATTTCACGAACATCAGCACGTGGAAGTGCACCGTGAACTTGTGTTCATCCACTAGGTCATCCTCCACGTCGAGCTTATCGGGGGGAGCGGCACTCCTTAAGAGGATCTCCTCCATACCTGAGAGTGGGCAGAGCACGGGTGAGCCGCAGACAAATTCAAAATGTGCCTGGTCCGCTGTCTGTAAGCACGCAAGGCAGAACTTGGTGCGCATCTCATCTGCAAGTGGAGCTGCTAGCTCGAGGAGTCTCATAACAAGGTCGCATTCGGCGTTTCTGCCGCTGCTGGACGACCCTCTGAGTCGAGCTTCTTCAGCGTGCTGCTGCTTGAGGATGGCCCAATAGATGAACGTATGATCTCCCAGAATGTGTTCTTGCAAAATTGAGCAGAATGACACATTGTTGACTCTGCAGGCATCCACATAATGATCAAGCACACACCAAGCATTATCGCCTATTTTTTATAGTTTAGCCAAATCCTTCATGATATCTATTACAGTCATCTTCAGCTCTGCACTTTGCAAGGAGGAACAGCACAGAAAGAAGCTGAATCTGCTCTGGCAGCTCTTTGATGGAGGATATACAAACTTTCACAGGGAGGAAGGAACAATCTCATGTGGTATGCGCTTCTCCTCGTCGAGATATAGAAGAGAGCCTTAGTGCGAGAGTGTGTCATACGCGAGAGGTTTGTTTTTCAAAGGCTTCAATATAGCATGTTGCTGACCAGCCATGGTATGATAGATGATGTATTTTTTGGAGGACTCAGTCGCATACAACTTCTCCTGTGCGAACATGAGTTACATACCCGTACAGCAGTGCAGACTCTTAGTCGCCAAAGGAAGATTAGTATAGCTGCTGCTGAAAGAGTTTGCTCGATGTGATTGCAAGCTCGACGCCTTGTAGATGGCCACAGGCCAAGTCTGTGGACTGCCTGGATAGCAAATCGATGCAGGAGTGACTCCTGCGATCTTGAGTTTCATGTACTCATGTTGAGGCTGTATGATGTTGGTATGATGGGCGGCCCAGGGCACTCATCACGGATGACTTCGTGAATCGTGGTTCAAATGCACTCAGTCTGCAGTACCTGGTTAATCGCTGAGTATATCTAGAAATGAGCGTGAGTCAGTGCTTTAGATGTGAGTTTAATCATAACAGTTCGAAGTGCAAGTGAAATGTGAGAGAGAAGTGTGTGACACTGTCACACATCTGTAATTGAGTGATCATCACTGTCTGAAACATCCGTGGGAAAGCTGATAATGCGATTAAGTTATGTACCATCGCGGCAGTATACCAGGACTCTCGAAAACCCCTATGTGAGGTTCGTCGGCCATTCAGACACAAATGGACACTTTTGAGGTTTTAGGCCAGTCCGAAATCCAGACAAAATGACCCTCCAATGTTCAAAAGGCCTGTCAAAATGTCCAGACATTTTCTCTGTATATATTGATAGGCCAGTCCAGCATCCAGACAAGAATCAAGGGGAAGGTCGAGGACAAAAGCAGTAATTAACTTCAAGCCACAAAACAAATACATACAAATAGAACAAAAGAGGTGGGCCACCGAAAGGCCAGTCGCAACGTTCCACTGGAGACATGGAGGCATTTGTCACCATGTAATATGTGTGACAAATGCGAACTGATATTTTATCTTTGTGAAAAGAATCTAGTGCAATTGCAATTACCATTACATATTTTGAGTTTGTAACTTAACTTGTCACCATTGCAAATCTGAGTTGACTTATTTTGTCTATACCCCCCAAGAGAAACCATAAAATATTGCACAGACTATATGGCTCTGCTACAAATATACCACTATATGCTTTAGTGTGAGGGCCAATGAGCTAATTTGTGATTGGATACTTTAGGCTGGCATAGTCCTTGTGCAGTGTTTAGATTTGTTATCCTCAAAATAGATAAAATAGATAATATTGATTTGCTATAATGGTATATCAAGTCCCAAGTTTGAAATATGCAATGTCACTTGTGATGAGATGAATCCTTTTCACAAAGATAAAATACCAGTTCCAATTTGTAAGGCATATTACATGGTGAAAAATGGCTCCGTGTCTCCAGTGTCCAGACAGAAACTTCAGGGTCCCGAAGGCTGAACACAAACTCTGAAAAAGCTATCTACACAGGAAGTTCAAAATTTTTGGACCGGCCACCCATAGAGATTTTTAGAGGTCCTAGTATATTCCCCCCCCCACTCGCAGAAAGTCGAGACCCCCAGAAATGCCACATTGTTCCATGATCATGATAGCATCATGTGGAACTGAACATCATGACCTCAGTTATTTAGTCACGTGCTGAGCACAGAGCGTCGCGTCGCATCTGGACCAGTTTTCCCAGCAAGCACTTTTCTTCTCTGTCTCTAACAATGGATGCAAGATCCAATCTTATGCACCAAAAGATTGTAATAGGATTGAGAAAATAATTCAAATCCTTTCAAGGAATTATGGCTCAAAATATTGAATAAGGATTGAAAATAACTTTAGCATCTTTGTCAGCAGAAGATTTAAAAGAGACTCTAAAGTATTTATTTTTAATGTTCTTTCCAATCTTTTTCCAGTCTTTCACAGTGAAAAGAGAAAGATTCTTGAATCTGATTGGTTGTTTACAATCTTTTCACAATTTTTTCATGATCTTCTATCACATGTTTCAATCTCTTCACTGTGAAGGAAAATAAAGGTATTAGAAATATTATTATAAATATTTAACACAAATCTAATAGAAAATCTTTTCAATCTCCTGCTCACAAAGATGCTAAAGTTACTTTCAATCCTAATTCAATATTTTAAGCCATAATTCCTTAAAAGAATTTAAATTATTTTCTCAATCCTATTACAATCTTTTGGTGCATAAGATTGGATCTTGCATCCAGTGTAATTCTCACACTTGGTTCTCTGTCTCACACTCTCACACACGGCAGACATGGTGCGATTTATCAACGTAGAAAATTGTGTGTAAATGTCAACTGATTTCTTACACATGCGACAAATATTTGCAACCACGGCATTTCATGTCGAAAATGTTTCACTTTGGCTGCTAATGTGCACTATTTGCCATTTACATGCTACATTGGCAAACCTTTGCCACAAATGTAAAACATCAGCCGACATTCCCACACCATTTTTCGCACTGATAAATCGCATCATGTCTGCCGTGACACTTGGCCTTCGTCTCTCCGGCGTTTCCCAGCTTGAATTGAGAGAAAACCTCTGTTATGGTGTGCTGCCCACAGGCGAGTGATGGGAGTTTCCCGTCCCCGTGACAATCTTGGCTTTGGAACCTGCCGGCAACTCATGCACCGAGATACCGCCATGATCGCTGCAGAACGGAGCATATGTCTGAAGTGCAGATCTTCGTGGGAATGCGACAGCGGCTGAGGCTGCATGCAAGACAGTACATGTGGCTTCCACGGCGCGGGCGGAATCGCATGGTGAGTTCAAGCTCATCGACTATGTTTAATACTGAGTTTACTCATTGATATCTATGCAAGATGACGCCAACCTACTGACGAGCTTTATAGTGGGTTCACATGGTGGTTGCACGGGCGCGATCATTGAGGATACGGTGTCATGGGCTGCTTTGTGACATTTCAGTATATATTAAGATTCGGGGCGAGTGAACGACCGAGAAATATATAACTTCTCATTGAAACGACTGGTGTGCGCGAGTTCGATTCAGTGTTCAATATCGCAAGCCAACTCTGGTCGTGCGTGCAAGTGGAAGACATCGCAAAAAAAACGTTCGCGTCCATCGCTCTCTCAAAAGCAAATGACATCGACATGACATTCTTTGAACATGTAACGCGAAGCATGAAGTTCGAACTGAAGCAACAGGCTCTCAATCCGTGCAATCGATTCTTGCAGAATGTCTGAGTGCCAGACAAACCCAGAACAGAAGACGCAGGCGATGTCGCACCTTCGTCATGGCAGAAACTGGGCGACTTATGGGACGAAACTAGATGCCATACCTGAACAACAGCAGCAATGTTGCGGAAACGTAGGAAACAAGAAGTTCGACAATCAAGCATCAAGAACGACGGTATCGATATGGAATCCACGATTCCATACATGGCCGCCAATGAGCGATGTCAACCTGTCACGTAAGAAGAAGAACCGTGTGAATCAAGTTACAGCAAAGTTTGCCCACCAACGCTCATATCGAGGATAGCATAGTCAAAGAAAGCCCGATAACTTAGCAAAGCACAGCATCGCACCACCGGATCGTTTCTAACCGCAAAATACATCTAAAAGCCCAATGTCAAGCTCGGCTGGCTGGTGACGATGCGGCTCATCAAGAGGCCGTTTGATCAAGACCACAATGCGCTGTAGACGATGAACGTCGATCAGCTGTTCATCGATGTGAGAAGGCAAGGTACACACTCATCGTACAGGATCCGAATAAAGTTCAGCCGTGATGATGCGAGGGAGATAATCTGCACATCTAAGAGTCGATTGCAAGGCGGTAGAAAACATACAAGCCGATGACGAACCGCTGAACTTGGGACGACCTGTCAGACGGAACGATCTCAGCCTCACCCCACACGTATCCCTCAAGCTTCCAAATTGACGGTGACAACAACAAGCATTCTCCAGAAGCTCTATCGAGACCCGTTCAGCCTGAACGTCAGAACGGGCGGCCACTGCTCAAGAGAGACTCGAGAAACAAACGGAGAAGGCAAGAAGGCATGCACGCACGATCTGAGCGAGTGGTGGTTTTGCATCAATGAGAACTGGTCCCTTTCCTGGAAGCTCGGACGCTGGCAAGTTAATCAAAGAACAGGATGCTACAGTGGACAGAACCAGTCAATCGAGCAGGCCGTGGCCCAAGGTTGCCATCGGGAAAGGCGGAGCTTGCAGATGATGTGGCTATCACAGCTGTGTACCAGTTCCGCGATCGGCGACGCAGGACATCCGGCTTGTATCTTTCAAGTAGTGTAGCAAAGGTGCAGGGTGGCTCCGTAGTCGTGACCGTCCAGGACTGCTCTTCTCGTACGCGAGACAAGAGCCCACAGAGGAAATGCTCGGAACAGGGGACTTGGACCATTCACAGACGGTAAATCGAGCATTAGAGCGGCGCACAGCTAGACGACGCGACAACCTTATTATGTTCCCGCGGCACGTCCGCATCGCCTCGCAACTTGAAATGCTCCCGCGAACAATGTTGCGCGGCAATCCTCACTCACTTGCCGCCTCTTGCTGTAGACTCCAGATTTCTGGCTTCCAGCACAAACTTCGAGACGATTGGGGACTACAAGAAGGCAAGTCGTCAGCAAATCTGACGGGGATGGCATCGCTGGAGGGTCGAATGCTGGTTTGTGAGCTTTATGTTGGCGCCCCGACGGTGCAACTGATGGACCACATGGATGGTAGAGAACTGTTTCAGGAGATGCAAACTTTCGACGTCCTAAGAGGTGGCACAGTCGGTCCTATCCGCGTCGCCGGCTCATTGTAGGTGGCACAGTCGGTCCCATCTGCGTCGCCGGCTCATTGTGGCCCGCTCATCGATCCAAGTCCACGGAAGCACATCGATTTTTTCAACTCCTCAAACAAGGATGGATATCAGTGCCCCCCCCCCAAGAGTTATGACTGTAAGTCCTGAATCACAGTCTCTGAGCTGATACTCTGCTTTCTAGAGTGGATTTTGCCTCGTAACGATCCCACAGCGCAATCGATGAGCGCTAACACGTAGTCACGGTAACCTCGTGACAATATGTCACATCATAGGTGGCCACAGCGGACATAGACGCCAATTAGGTTTGTGGCCAATTCGTCAATCGATGATGAATGGGGCAATTTATCATCAATGGGAAACAATGCATTGTCTTCATAGACAGCAGATGAAGAATGTCCAAGAAATCCGCGTGATATAGTCAGAAGAGCTTCCCAAGGCAAGCCGACCGGCGTCAAGATTCAAGATCACTATCGACTGAGGAAGATCACAGCTGACCAGTTTCTCGTTATATGCATGTCGAACATGCACGAGTCACGAAACAGTCTGCTTGACATCCGATGGGCTTGCTCAAGGACAGCGACAGCACACCGTTCGGATTTATGCCAGTTTCCCAACCGAATGCGCGACGCAACGCATAGTCACGTCGCATGTCCTTCCTCATTATATCCATCCCACGCAATAACTTTCGTGGAAGGAGAGGAAGATTATACATGTCGAGCAGGACATACCTCTGTCGTTCTCCGTGATGGATGACGGCGCGACGTCGCTGGCTGCCGTTCGCGACTCTCGCGAAGCCGAAGCGTGGCACATGGGGCTATAAACGCGTCCAGTCCTTGTTCTGGACAGTACTATCATGGCGGAACGAGCAGCGTGGGCCGTTGTGCGGTGCGCGGTGATCGCAGCGATTTGCATCGCCTCCATCCGCATCGGTAGTCTCAAAGCTCGTGATAATGTTATAAGCTAGATGTTGGTTGTCCTCATGCTCAGAAAATCGACCAAAGACCCAGAAGACCATGTGCAGGCTTAGAGGGCATTCCGACCGTTATGTTAGAGAAGTTGGCGAGCTCGACAAAGCAGGACGGAGGAGAAACTCGATACAGCCCAATATTTCGTCAACAGCCCCTCTACGAGACGTAGAATAACGAGCAGGTCGCCGGGACAGAAGAAGTGGTTCGGGGTGATGGGGGTCGCACAAATGGCCGTGGACGGTTCACCCCGGTTCACCGCGCCACCGCTCGCTTGCCGCGTCCGCCTGCCCACGCGAGTGCACCTTGCCACGCCTTGCTCGAAACAACGTCCTCATTGCTGCAATGGACCTCTACCTAGCTGTCACGCCCACAATTCTGGTATTTTATGTCCCACAAACATCTTGTCCAATTCCTATAACATACCGTCTCATTGCCGCCCCCTCTTCCTTCCGGTTTCCCCACACCACCTCTCGATAGCATGAGGACATGGACGCTGTGATGCTAAGCTCGGCCCTCACCACCTCTCGTGGGAGGGTTCTCGCCATCTATGCCGACTTCTGCCTATAATGCCACTGCGGACCAAGCATTCGCATAAATCTCTTGATCATGCCGCGCGAAAGTGCCCTCGTCCCCCATGCTCGAAGTGGCTGCCGCTACCTCTCGACATCAAACGCAGAAAGAATCTGCAACGGGAACTCTCTGCGTTCGCCATCTTCACCGGAGGTCCTTGCCATCCCCCGCTGGACCGCGCCTCCCACAGGACTCCAAGTCGCGCTTTCTTACGAGCCTATCGGAGTATCCTACAGAGGCTGCTCTCGTCGATAGAGGTTTTTTCAGTTCCTCCGGAGATTCTCGATATCTCTGTGCGTAGTCGGGAGACCTGCGCGCATTCGACCATTCCGCGGACTGTACTGTGATGGAAGAATAACAGATAAATGCTGGATACTTGCGTGAGTTTATCTTTGGAAACGGAGAAGCGCTCGTGGCCGGGGTGGTGGGTTCGTATTATCTACCGTATGGATGGTCGCTCACAGTCTCTTCAGTTTCTTGTTGTCCTGCATGCTAGTCGGACACATCCACGAGCCTGTGAGCTCGTTTTGCTTCGTTCCTTTTCCAGTGACATCCTGCGGACGTCGTCAATCAGCACAAGGTGGTTCAGCGAAGCGGGACTCGTGACGTCGCTGGAACCCAGGTCCATCCCTCTGGCCGATCTCCCAAGTATGAGACCATAAACAACATCTGGATGAGGAACATCCCCAGAGAAGGCCTTCACCGCAGTGTCCTGTGGAGAATCGACCTAGTTGGCAAAGGCGTGAATATAAGGGGTCCCCGAAGGGATTGAGAGAGCAGCCAGCCATATCCTCTTGTCCATCAAGGCTTTTCATGCGCTGTCGAGTTGAGACGAGACAGTCGGTACAGGAAATCATCGCGAAGATGGCCATGGAAGAGATTCCGCACCTCTGCTTGCTTTGACTGCCGGCGTTTCATGCTGCTTGACCGTTTATGTGTGGGTCCTGGTGAGCATACTGGCTGCAGACACGTTCCTTGATACCTTCGACTCGCAACTCGCACACATCCTCTGTTTGAGATGCTCCTCAACATCCTCGCTATCGCAATGCACAGAGAACTCTTTATGAACACTCTCGCCATCCTCTGTCTCTGCGTTAACGCACACGTCCCGTGCTCCTCGTATGACCCATAGTGGCTCTTTCTCACTGCTGACACGACTTGAGTGCGTGGAATCTCCCCCGCGCACGGGCGACATCTATCGGACGCCGTCGGCTCTATTTCCCCACTTTCAACGGCGGACAACTCACTCAACTTGCGACGGTCACACTGCTCCTTGCTGCGATTGTCACACTCTGTGCGCCGGATGCTGTCGACGTGTTTCACGCAACTGCGGCGTCATCCGTTGCGTGACAGCACCTCAGTCGCTTTAGCAAAAGCACCCGTGCCCCCAGTTGCTGTTGCTGTACATCGCCTTGCTGTACCATCTGAGTGTGCTCCTTGGATCGACGGACAAACTCCACGCAGCGACGACGCTCATCTTCGGAATTGCCAATCCTAATTAGGTTTTTTTAGTTGCTGCCCTTCGAGGAGGCGTGTGCAAGGTCACGGAGTGCTCAGGGTCACAAAGTCATCACTCGTGCTGGTGCAGGACGGCTCCCCGCTTCTCGACTGCCCATGCCCGATCATGCAAATCCGTTCGAAGGTTCGTACGCATTGAGCGCGACTGACCGTCCGATCTCGTATATCCCGCTCAACGCCCATTCAGGTCCCTTCTATTGATGCCTCCCAAAGGCTGAAGCGCTCAAGACTGAAGACCCAACAAGAACATGAATCCATTCAAGGTGCGTACCCCACCTCCATCCGAGTCACGAACTCTGCAGAGCTCCACAGCCATAACCTGCTCACTAGACCGTCGACCTCGCTCAAGGATCCTCCCACCAAAAATCAAAGATCAAAAACCACACAAACGCATCAAACCCACATCGTACGCATCTTTTCATCCTCCTCACTCAGGACCCGTCCTGAATCCTGACCATCGCTCAATTCCCACTAGTCAAGGACCGCACGACGGTAAGTCCCCACGACGTAGATCTCAAAGCAGATGGCCGACCGACCTTGCGCATATCATATAGGACACGGCGGGGATCGGGATCAGAGGAAGAGTCTTGATAGTGGGCATTGTATGGAAGAATGAGAATATGAACGCGTTCACAAACGGTCCTGCAGGCATGCGGTGTGACAGTCGGGCGATCAACTGATCGAAAGTGCATGCACAAAGCACGAAGTACCAAGCCCGGCATCGCCTCGAAGCTTAGCTCAAGTTGCGAATGAGGTGACTAGACTTCGCTCGACCTGCCAGCGGTATGTTGTCACGGATGCGCGCCTCGTCTTGCACGTCTTACAAGCCAGCGAGCTGGACCCCCGGGGGGTGGAGGGAGTGATCTTGTTTGTGAGTGGTGACGGAGGACGAGCCGGTTTCTTCCCAGTACGAGGAACGAGCGCTGAGCGCAGAGATTTAGATCTGAGAACTAACTGCACGCTATCATCAGCCATCGACTCAAAATGCTACGAACATGCCATCGATCCCACTGCAGAAACGAAGACGTTTGTTCGTATTGCAAATACTTTCAAAGTGCGGCGTTTGCAACACTACGCCTTAATTCATCAAAGTCATTCAATTACATAAATGCATGAACAATTGCAAATATCCTCATGCCCGTGGTGAACGAGTACTTGACGAATGCGCGATGCCGTCGCGCACGGATGGACATATGGATGTGGCAAGTCACCTGTGCAGAACGCGGATCCCCCTGGCCGTGGCCGCGCTTCGAGAGAGTGTGCTCTTTGACGTCTCCCATCTGTCTCAACGACGGATACATCGATGATACAGTGATCCTTGATCGACGCCCCTTAATTCAAAGTACGTTCCGTCGCCATTCGTCGAGTCGTTGCTGAAATGCACGGTGATTATCAGCTTCCCGGGCCCCTCGGAGTCCATGTTGAACGGATGACATTGCTCGCTTCGAATCTTCATAGCACGTTCAGCAGCGACCGCCTGGATAGCCTGTGTCACGCGGCGATGCATGCCAACTAGGCTGGTGTCTGAGTGAATGTGAAGACGGTAACGCGAACGCAGGCGCAGGACGCTTTACAGATCGAGTCCTGCCTTACCTGGCCGGCCTTACCTGGCAGATCTGAAGGAAAGACCGCCGAAGCCAATCTGTTCATCAAAAGGAATTAGGGTCGGATTGCACCATCAATGCATCGCATCAACTATCAGCACACACCACATGTCACTGCTCTCCGTACGATTGCTGTATTCCTTTCGAGGGTGTTTCTCGCCAGAAAAGGTAGGTGGTCTTCTATATGTGAAAATTTACTAAGTGGCGGGACCACCGCTCTCTGAGGGGCCACATGTATCGCCCGTCGGGAGAACTTGGATGGCGCGTGGCTGAATTTCTCGCCACCGCTTGCCTTGACCGCTGCCACACCTGGGCAGTTGGATGGCGTGGTCGCTGTGGCTTCCCTTTGCTCGGCACTTGTCCTCGTCCGAACCGCCTATCTTCACCGCTGCCGCAGCACGACAGCACCAGTGCCTGGCCATGAGTCTCCTTTCCATGTCTTGACGCTCATAGAGAGCTGGAACGACATCACAGTGATGCCTCCTCTGCGCAATAAATAGCACGCGCTTTGACGGTGGACGGCAGGTCGAACATTCCCCCTCGCTCGTTCACGTACGTTTTCTTTCAACTTTTGCTCGCAGCGCGCTGATCGTTCCTCCAGCAATCATCATCGACATCACTCGCTTGTTGACCGCACCTCCTTTTCTGCGACACAATGCATTCCAAGCTGAGCCTCGCCATCATCTCTGCTGCCATGCTCATCGCTGTGCGCGCCGCTGCCACCACTCCGCGCTCACCCCCTTCCAGCTTCGGCGGGCAGTGCAACACGGGTTCCCTCCGGTGTTGCGACACCGTCGGCGACGCGTCTGACCCGGGTATTGTGGGCTTGGTGGGTGATCTGCTCGACGGCGTGTCAGGCCTCGTCGGTATCGGCTGTAGCCCCGTCGTTGGCGGGGATACTTGGTGAGTGCGCCGTGCGAGCGGCCCTATTGAGATTTGTATAGCTGACGCGCGTTGCCAGCACGAACACCCCCGTGTGCTGCGAAAACGACATCTTCGGTAGGTCTCTGTGGCATTGTCGTTCGTGGTAAAGCATGCTTATGTGCGTTCCCTGCAGCCGGCTTGATCAACATCGGCTGCGTGGCCGTCAACACCAATCTCTAGGCCCGTCTCGTCCTCTGATACGTAAGTCCGAATCCAGACGAGTACAAGGACGGATGCGTGCTGACGGGCTCAGTTGTGACAGATAAGCGCCGTATATCGTCCGTGAGCAAGTCGAAGCTGGTGTAGCCGTTGCCATATGTTATCCTCTGTTGCCGTGTCGCTGTCCTGGACTCTGCAGTTTCCTCTTGTAACTCGTTTTCGCCTTCTATACACACTGATCCTCGCTCGTCGACGTTCACTGTACCTCTTTACATAAAGGCTCTACATGTGCTGCCATTACACGGACTCGATCCCCCGTTCATGGTAGATGTTCTCGCGTTTTGGATCCATGTAATTCACATTCGTTGGGGAATAATATATCATGTACAATGCCTTTCCTGCGTCGTTCGCAAAAGTGATAGGCTGTGCGTACGAGATCGAAGCCTTCACATCATCGAGTATCACGGAGCTTTCTTTAATTCCTTGTACGACAGCTCTGATTGCTCATTTGAGCCTCTCAAGGTGCAAGGATGATGTTTGCCGAGTTGTCTCGTTTCTGCCCTAGGAAGACTGCTCGGTTGTCACCAGCAGGCTTGAACGTCGTGACGTTGACATAAGGGCAGTCGACGCAGGTTGCCATCCCTCGCGTGACATCCATGACGTAGATCACCTTCCTTCCCTCCCTCATAGTTTTCAGGTCATCGCAGCACCAAAGTTCCAGCTGAGTGTCCAATTGCCCAAACTGAAGTCTTCTTGATGTAGTGTGCATCTCCCAGCCAGACCCATACCGGTGTAGCGAGCCTTTAGTATGAATGAACCAGTCGCATTGAGAGATGGGAGTTGATGCACCAGAATCGATGATCCACTGTGTGTCACAGTATGACCCTCCGTGCCATGTGAAAAACCTAGTATATGTAGTCCGAACCTAGTGCTAAGCCAAGCTTAGCATTACCAGCCTTTTGGTGAAGTGGTCTATCATCATAATTGGTATTGCTTCATAGGGATTAGTTCTGGCCCCGTGACAAAATGCTAAGCTTACCTAAGGTCACTGGTTCGAACCTCTGGTCTGGCAGACTTATAGTGCAAGTTAGACACAGTTATAAAGGCCATGCAAGTTAGTCACGAATAGGCTAAAGATGCTGAATCGTGCAAGTCAGTCATGATCTATGGAAAAGGGGGTGGTCCCATCCTTTCATGCGAGTTAGTCACTATAGACCCAGAAAGTTAACGATGTGAACCCCTGACTACAACTAAATAGGGTTCACCAGCTATATACCCTGGTTGAGGTTGGTGCTATATACCTCTCGGAACGATTGGTCTTGAGAGCAGGGTAGTGTCACAGTATGATCCTCCGTGCCACGTGAAAAACCTAGTATATATAGTCTGAACCTAGTGTTGAGCCAAGCTTAGCATTACCAGCCTTTTGGCGAAGTGGTCTATCGTCATAATTGGTATTGGTTCATAGAGATTAGTTCTGGTCCCGTGACACTGTGTCCGGAGACATAATGTGCACTTGCAGAGAGGTTCAGCGAGGAATAAGTGAAGCTTCTCATCGTCTTCTTGGCATACAGGCATGGCCGTCGCAACCTTTGCAGTTTGGTCACTGGTGTTGTCATACATATGTCTGGCTTTGTGACTCACGAGATCTGCATTCTTTTTGCAGCACTTGTCTTCCATATGCCCCTTCTTTTTGCATGCAGTATACATGCATCTGGCACTCTTTTTCACATTGTTCTTGCAGTTTTACTTCGACTTCATCTTACCGGTCTTTGCTAGCAGCGGACTTGCATGTTAAATTCCTGATGTCCTCCATCAGGACGTGATTGAAGGTGGTGTCAATCGAAAGCTTGTCTTGAGAGGGGCAAGGGTGCAGAAAGGGTATTCAGACATGGCAACACTTGATAAATCTGAGGGAGCAATGGTATTGAGATCAGTACAAGACATAATTGCCACCAGGCTCCTCCCTATCTCACTTTCAGGAGTTTGGAGGGCCCCATCCTATGGGTGGGACATTGTGCTTCATCCTGCCACCTCAGCCACATTTCAGCCACACATTTCAGACTCAGCCAATGTTAAACTCCACACTCTTATTCCCCTCCAACTCCCTGAGAATGAAGGACCTGTGTGGTCTGGCGGATTCTGCCAGATTCCACCAAATGTGAGGAGATCGCTGAAGGCCACTGCTGTAAGCCATTGCAAGGCTGAAGAGTAGAACCGTAAGATGAGCGGTGAGAATCGATAGTTGCTGAAGTTATAAATTTTAAGACATGCTGCATGAACTCAGCCCAGTGCCCGGGAGCATTCTTCAGTGTTGTGTGTAAAGTGGTTTTCCTTCACATAGACATGTTCAGTGATCGTGCGAAGCCCGACGTCATTTGTCTTGCTGCATGTATCGTAACCTGCGCATCATCTGAAGCTATCTGCCTCTTCAGATGCATCGTGATCTGGCTTTGCATGGACATGTTCAGTGATGCACGTGAACCCCATGTCATGAATGTCTGAAGGTCTGAAGCTTGAAGCCATCTATCCTCCCGTATGTGTCCTAACATTCATGGTTCTGACTGAAGGCCCCATTTTCACAAGGAAATCTGTCATATTTTGACTGCTTCAGCCATTTACGAGAAGCTGGTTCTATTTTTAAAGTCATTTTAATTGCTCATTATCTCCCCAGATCTCCACTTGTCTGCGCACGCCTATCACCTTGATGGGCGCTTAGTTCAGTAGTCGTGCAGAAAGGCTGCTCAGACACAAGAAATGTGAAAGTGCCACACTTGGCTGCTTTATCTGTGTCAGTAGGGGGTGCCAACAACTTAGCTAAATGCGCAGGCTATATGACTTGAAGGCACCGCTAACAGGAATACGATGTAACGTGAAAAAATAGTAAATCATGGAGATTATGTGCTACTACAGATTAGTACTATAGCTGTATCATACTAGTACA